TACGGCGGTGACTCAAGTTCCGTGGCTAGCCAACTGAACGCCGGTGTTCAGACCGTATCCTCCACAGCTGTGGCCTTCGCTGCCGTCAAAGCGGATGGGAGTGTCGTCACATGGGGCGATTCTAACGGCGGTGACTCAAGTTCCGTGGCTAGCCAGCTTGACTCCAATGTTCAGACCATCTACTCCACCGTGGGGGCCTTTGCTGCCGTCAAAGTGGATGGGAGTGTCGTCACATGGGGCGAGTCTACATTCGGCGGTGACTCAAGGGTCGTGGCTGCCCAGCTTAACTCCAATGTTCAGACCATCTGCTCCACTGCGGGGGCCTTTGCTGCCGTCAAAGCGGATGGGAGTGTCGTCACATGGGGCGATTCTAGCTACGGCGGTGACTCAAGTTCCGTGGCTAGCCAACTCACTCATGGTGTTGAAACCATCTCCTCCGCAACGTATTTCTTCGCTGCTGTCTTGTGGGATGGGAGTTTTGTCGCGTGGGGATACTCGGAAGGCTTAGAGGATTTCGTTGTCGGTCCGACCATCACCAGCACCTCGACCATTTCCTCCGCAACAGGCACCTCCTCTACATTCTCCTCCTCAACGTCTTGCTCCTCTACATCCTCCAGCACAACATCCACGACTTCAAGCAGCTCTAGTTCTAGCACTTCAACGACAAGAACAGCAGATAGCCAGGAATTGTCCGGCTCGTTTCTGGTAGATCTTCCTGAGGCAAACAGCGCGCAACTACAGGCTGCAGCGAAAGCAGCGCTGCTGCAAACTGTACAAGGAATCAGGGATGCCGCTGTGGAGATTGCAGTTCAAGTGGAAGCGCGGCGACTTCAAACTTCCAGAAGATGGCGGGTCGACTTCACTATTGTGCTGCTTGTGCAAAAGGTAGAAAGTGCCCTGACTTTCATCACCGACATCAGTCGCAGTGCAGAATTTCGGTCAGTGCTTGGGAACGAACTTGTCCGAGCTGGGGTGGACATCGCTTCCACGAATGCGATGACAGTCAGCGCTATCAGCGCTGCAACCCAGACTACCTTGGCGAGTCTTCGGGCGGAGGCCATCATCGGTGTATGCATAGCTGTGGCCGTACTACTTCTTTGCTGCGCTGTGATCGCGATGTTTAGCCGCCTTCGATACCTCAGAACAGAACGTGTGGCAAAGTTTGCAGAAGAGCAGTTCCGCGAGGAGAACCCCATGTATCGCTGGGCAATGATTTCCGCGCGCTTTGATGGGGGAGAGTTGGAACAGAAATTCAGACGAGTTCACATGATACTCAAAGAAAAGAAATGTAACATCCTGATGGTTTCAGTGGAGTCTGGAGATGATTTCGGGCTTCTTACCATGCAGTACTTGAACAAGATCCGCGAGACGCAAGGCATCATTCTTGCTGTTTGCACGAGGAATTACGGCGAGAAGACGGCGTCCCCCTATAGCAGCCACGAAGAGCTCGTATACGCTCATGACAACAAGTTGCAAGTCATGCCCCTGAAGGTGGAGGACACATACCCCCCGGAGCCTCCATGTGGGCCTGGTCACCCATACGACAAGAAGCGAGTTGCCATGGGTCTCATTGGCATGATCTTCAAGAGCAGTGTACTGTACGAAGACTGTACCAACAAAAGTGCCGATGCAATTTCTGAAAGTCTGGAAAAGCGGCTGCGGTCAAATGTTCAACAGGACATGGCGGAGATGCGAGCAAGGGAGCTTGCAGAAGAGCAGTTCCGCGAGGAGAACCCCATGTATCGCTGGGCAATGATTTCCGCGCGCTTTGATGGGGGAGAGTTGGAACAGAAATTCAGACGAGTTCACATGATACTCAAAGAAAAGAAATGTAACATCCTGATGGTTTCAGTGGAGTCTGGAGATGATTTCGGGCTTCTTACCATGCAGTACTTGAACAAGATCCGCGAGATGCAAGGCATCATTCTTGCTGTTTGCACGAGGAACTACGGCGAGAAGACGGCGTCCCCCTACAGCAGCCACGAAGAGCTCGTCTACGCTCATGACAACAAGTTGCAAGTCATGCCCCTGAAGGTGGAGGACACATACCCCCCGGAGCCTCCGTGTGGGCCAAATCACATGTTTGACCATGACGGAGTTGCCAGAGGCTTGATCGGCATGGTGCTTAAACCAAGCCTTGAACCCTTGGACTGTATCGGGACAGGAGCAGAAGGGATCGCTGACCAGCTTGAGAAACTATTGCGGCGACAGGAAACCTTGTTGTCGTTTTAATTCCAAAGGGGCAACGTTTCATTCAGAAGGGATATGCCAACGTTCGAATAGCCTTTCTTTAGCAGGGGAGCCTGAAACGCCCCTGGCCGAAGGCCGAGGCGCGTTTGTCAACACGGGTCGAGGCAGCCTTTCGTAGAAAAACATTTCTGGTGTCTTATTCGCTTGTTTGCTTTGCTCATGCACTTCTACTACTAACAGTAGTATTTCCTTCACTTGTATCTTGGTTAGAAGTTATCACGGTTTTATGAATTGTAGTACCGAGGCAATAAGATAATATAAATCCTCCGGGAATCTCCCAGAAGAAAGAACACACCATAAAATACAATTAAGCACTACAAATACTCTATAATACTAAAGGGGCCCCCTTTAATATCCCCCAAGTTACTCCAGACTGTGCCATGTTCTTTGGGTGGAGTGAGGATGTTGATGGGGAGTTGGGTTTGGAGATGCTGGGTTGGTCCTTCGATGTTGCTGCTTTGGCTTTGGGAATGCGGATGGTTTGGTTGAGTGCTGTAAGAGGTACCAGTGGGAGGTCGTTTGGGGCACGTGGGTGAAGTCATTGAATCTGCGATGAGGTTGTTGTTTGCCCAGTAGGTGGCGGAGTTGGGCGCACCATGCCGTGATTGACGATGTCAACCATCCACCTGCTTGTCGGTGGCATGGGTCGAGTAGTTGGCGTGCGGGGCCGAGAGCCGTGGGTTTGGCTTTGATCCGGATGTGGAGGCTCTGCATGGTGGCGTAGCGGTAATTCTGGCACATACTTCAAAAGTGACTGTTCGGTTGGCACATTTGCCTACTTTGGGGCGGCGGAACCGGACTGGGGAAAGTTTCATGCTGCCTCGACATCCATGGAGTGCCAAATAATTTGGACGCTACTTATGCAGCTTATGCAGTTTGGTCTGAGGCAGCTGTCAGTATGTTTTGGGGCAATCGGCAATGGTTGTTTTCTCTTTAAGGGTTTCATCATCTGATCGCGCCTGCCGAACCAACCCCCCCCGTCTGCGCCCAACACTGCAACCATCACGCGTGAGTGCGCTGCTTGGTCTGCAGTTAGCTAGTTACCCCCTCTTGAACCCGCTGCGGAGGGCGGCAAGGCCGTTTACGGAGCCGCCCCGAGATGTAGGGGGGGACGAGCGTGGGCGGCTGCGGTTACTGCTGCTAGCCTTCCCATACAGGGAGCTGGGCTAAGCTTGCAGGGGAAACGTCCGTGCTGAGCTCACCCATTCACAGGAGGACATGATGGGAATAGGACGGTTCAGCTTGGGGCCTCAAGGTTAGGTGTTCGGTGTTCGATTGACTAAGTTGCAGTCCTCTCCGCTCCAGGCGGGGAACAAAACCTGATGAGCAGTTTCACTTTGCCCTACAGGGAGACGATCTTGGCTGTACTCTCGCAACATCGTTGGGTGCAGGGGCGATCTCTCTCTGGGGGGGGCATATATGTCTCACGCTGACTGGATCACGGACCGGGCGCGCCTCGTGCGCGGAGGGTGTGCTCGCGCGCGCCCTTCAAGCCTTGAAGAAGAAGAGAGAGCGAGTGAGAGAGAGGGAGAGAGAGAGAGAGAGAGAGAGAGAGAAAGAGAGAGAGCGAGAGAGAGCGAGAGAACGAGAGACAGAGAGAGAGAGAGAGAGGGGAACTTTGTCCTACCTTCCCCAGCTACCAAATCTGTAGTCGGAGAAGCTTTCGCTCAAGTGTAAGGGGCCAATTCAGGGCGGAACAGTTCACGTAAATCGGTAGACCTGGGGCAACCCAATAGCGGCCCTCGGGGGTGCACGTACTTCCCCTGCATTTCGTGGAGGAGCGGGAATTGGGTATACAACAGTGGGGTTCATAGCAGTCATGTCCTTTCCCTGGATCTTCCACCCGCCACCTCTCCCATCTTTTCACACCGACAGACTCTGTATTGCTGGCCCAGTGGGGCGGTTCTTCCCTGCGAGGGGGGGATCATCAGCAGCGGAAGGAAGGAAGGAAGAGAAAGAGAGAGAAAAAGAGAGAAAAAGGAGAGAAAGAGAGAAAACAAGAGAAACAATTAGAAAAAGAGAGACAAGGAAAGAAAAAAAGAGAGAAAAGGAGAGAAAAGGAGAAAAGGAGAGAAAAGGAGAGAAAAGGAGAGAAAAGGAGAGAAAAGGAGAGAAAAGGAGAGAAAAGGAGAGAAAAGGAGAGAAAAGGAGAGAAAAGGAGAGAAAAGGAGAGAAAAGGAGAGAAAAGGAGAGAAAAAGAGAGAGAAAAAGAGAGAGAAAAAGAGAGAGAAAAAGAGAGAAAAGGAGAGAAAAGGAGAGGAGAGAAAAGGAGAGAAGGAGAGAAAGAGATAGATAAGGAGAGAAAGAGAGAAAGAGGGAAAAGAGAAAGAGAAAGAGCGAAAGAGAAAAAGAGATAAACAAAAATGCCCTGCTACGACCGACCCCTCTATGATGAACCCATTTCGCACGAGAAAGTCAACAATGTTTTCCAGAAACCAATGCAAAAATGCGAAGACAATTCTCAAAGGCATAACAAACACGACCACAAAAAGGTCCTGGTAATGTCGCTCTGTTTCATGATCAGGGTATGGGCTCGCATCAGGTGGAACAACCGAGACCCAAACCCAAAAGCAGGTCTTTCGATTTTGTTGTGCCATTGCTGTGAGGTTCGGTCTGCAGACCCTGCAGATTCAAGATGTCGTTGGATTCCGCAGGAAGTCCATGTAGGTATTCCAAACAAGCTTCCGTGCTATCATGATTTCAGGTCAACCCTGGCTCAAAATGGGACAGGGCAAATTCACGTTTTTTACATGGCTGAACTGGTGGTTTATGGCCGGGACAGCTGTGGCCTGTGCAACAAGTTCAAAGAATCTTGCGAAGCACAAGGCCTGAAGTATACACCGAAGCACTGCCTGCCAGTAAAGTCGGTAGAGGTGCGCAAGCCCTGCTCTGCCAAGGTGGCGACTTCATGTCTAAACTTGAGGGCCTTGGGCCCTCCAGTGATTCTGTTCATCAGCCTACTGTTGCAGGCCTGAAATATCGATATGCCAACGTTGATGTGGCCAGCAACAAGGCCGAGATGGCCCGGAAGCTCCGGAGTGCCGAATGGTTCAAAGGCCAGCTTGGGACACTTCACCTTTTTTTCTCTCACCTCGCATGGAAAGAGTCGAAATAAGCACCTCCTCCATAACACCACCAGTGCTTATTCATGTATCCCCAGCTGAAAATATTGTCTTTCCACATTTTTTTTGGAGTCCGGACCACCCACAAGGGGGCAAGTTCGGATTGCCCGTGGTGGACGTCTACGGGAACATCCAGGAGAGGCCCACCATGGCAAGTGTCAAAGCTGCGCGGGAGCTGCTGCCCAGCGATGAGCACACCGACAAGATGAAGAAACAGTTCAAGGACGGCCACACGAAACTAAATAATTAAACAAGCCAACGGTTGCCCGGGTGACCGCCAAAACGGCAAAGACCACCGGTGTAAAGAAGCTCGTTCAGCTTGCAGCAGCAAGTTTTTTCCCGTAGATTGCAAGCGGGTGAGATGGTCTTCACAGGAGCTTGACCTCAACAAGGATGGCACACTCTGCTTCGATGAGATGCAAAAGATGATGAGAAGACTGGCGCCAGACATGTCTGAAATCCAGCTTCAGACGCTTTTCTGCGCTGCTGATGTGAATCTTGGCGAAAGCGAGGCAAGTGGGTCAATGCAGCATAATGTAGCTGATTTCGCTAGACGTGCTTTCTTTCTGCCAACATGTGGCACCCGCCTTGTCAAACTCAGGAATCAAAATGGAGTGCTCGAACTGGACGAGTTCATCGACTTCGTATTGCATGGCAAGGCCCTGCGGCCAGTTTTTTGAGTTCTCAAGTTGGGCTTGGGGGAGTTCGAATTCAATCTAGCGAGAGAAGTAGGTTGCTCCTGGGAGCCAGCTGTATGCAGGCACGGTAGTTTGAAGAAGTTCCTCTTGGATAGTGCGAGAGAGTGGGTCTCTAGCTTGGTCTGGAACATGGGTTATCGTAGGCTGTACGTTTTTTGGCCTGCTGATCCTTCGGGTTGCTTCTGGTTTTGGCCTGGGGAGGCGGCTGTGGCCAAGATCATGCAGGATCCACCAGAGACTGAGCCGTGTCCAGCAGCAGTAAGGGAGGAGTGGAAGGCGCACGGGATGCATACGATCATCTGTTTTGTGACTGACAGGAATTTGAGCCATGAGTGGGTTGCAGTTGTGACGCACACACAGAGAGTCTATCAACCCTGCTAGTCGGTTTTGTTGCTTCTACTTCATTCCCTAGAGGAGCATGTGCTTTTTGCGCACAACTGGTTGCGACGGCAGCACGGGGTATTGGAGCTCAAATGGAGTTTCTGGGCTTGCAAGGATGGTGAAGCATGGTAGTCGGCCTAGTGGTTTGCAACTTGCAACAATAATCGTACCGACCTTCTACTAGCTGTTTTTGAAACGTGAGTGACTTGTAGTTGTACGATTCAGCGTCTCATGTGGAATGCAGCAAGCGGCTCAGAGACCTTTGATGCCATTGTGGGCAGTTGCCCCACGCCTTTTCGTACGTTTCCGTGTGCCATTCTGAGATGCCTAGGGTTAGTCGAGGATTGTGGGCCGTGTCGGCCTATAGTACAGTCTGAAGTTGGGATATTCCCCCTTCTTCTAACAGTGATTAACATAGGGGGTACTAAAATCCTCATTCAGGATTGCTAGCCTAAGGGGGAACATCCCCAAGTCTGAGGTGATGAGTGCTACGCCAACGCCAAGCGGCAAGCTGACGCTTGTCAAGCTGCTGGACGGATGCTGCAGGGCCATCTTGAGGGGCCCTCGGGTCGACAGGGCCAGAACCTTTATTGGATCCCTGAATGCAAGGGGGGGGGTATATGGAAACGAGGATTGAGTACCTTCTGGCTTCTGTGTTTCGTGTCTGTTTCAGATGGGCTCCCGAGTTCCTAAGTGCTCCTCAGGGGTGTTCCCGTTTCCTTACGAATTTCTTGGAATTCAGTCTGAGGAATCCTTGCCTATGTCCGAGTCCCAACGTCATCGTGGAGTCGTGGTACAAGGAACTGCACGAACCTGGCTATGACTTTTCCAAGGCGTTGGGTTCTCTGGGAACTGAGCACTTCACACAGGTGGTCTGGAAAGGCACTTCGCATGTGGCCATGGCTGTGTCGGAAGATGGATTGCATCTCAGATGCACGCCTAAAGTATCCATTGCATGGGAAGATCGCGGGCCAACGGATATCCTTTCCATCCTTTCCTTTGTTGAACGCTGCTTAAAAAGTGGAAGTCTAAGGTTTTGCGTGGCCAACTATTATCCGGCGGGCAACGAAGGAAGCTTCAAGGAGAGTGCAGTTTCTGCTGCATGTTGCCCAATCATAAGCTTCAATCATTTTCAAAGCACGTGACAGAATCTTGAAGATGGGCTTCACAGGACAATGTCTTCCCCGATGGGACACCTGTGCCCCGGCCACATGCGGGAGCTCTCGCAAAGGCGAAGGCCGCGGCATTGTCCAAGAGCAAGGCCAAAGCGAAGGCCAGAGGGCTGGAGCGGGTGGAGTTGCAATAGCTGTTGGAGCCACGGCGCGCTGGATGGGCGTGGGAAGATGTAGGAAGGATCCCAGAAAAGTGCGAGCGCGGAGTTCAGCAGTCGGGGAGCCCGTCAAGACCATGCGTGAGGTTCTCTGCAGCTCACCAAGCCCGGGGCAACTGTTCGAACGAGTTTCTAGGATCCGAGGCTCCCATTCACCAGAGAGTCTACGAGTCCAAGAAGGGTTTAGGGTTTAGGGTTTGGGGTTTAGGGTTTAGGATTTAGGGTTTGGGGTTTAGGGTTTAGGATTTAGGGTTTGGGGTTTGGGGTTTGGTCCAAAGCAGAGACCTTGGAGGCCATCCTGGAGGCCGGAGCGGACGGCCTTCAGACGCTCACCGTCAGGGCCCCCTCGCTGGCGGTGGACGAGATGCTGGAAGACTGCCCCTGGAATTTCAAGGAGTCACTGGCAAGAACTCCGTGCTCTGCTTTCTTGCTTGGGGGGGAGCCGGAATGCTTGTGTGCTGTGAAAAATGTGCATTGTGGAAGAAGTGCAGATTCTCCTAAAGATTCTGTACGAAAGGGTTTTTGAGGAGCCAAGAAGGTTTGGAGGTGTTTGGAATCTGAGAGACGTTCTGCAGGAACGGATAGAGAAGGCCTTCGAAGAAGGTGCTGATCTCGTCATGATTGATCGCTTGGAGGAGCTGCTTGGATCAGATCTTTCACTGAGTAGCAGATCCAAGAGCCCGAGGTGTTGAACTGCCTGATGTTAGAGCAGCTGTTGAAAAGAGAAGATGAATCAGTATGTACCCCCTCCTGATTTTGCAGATCGGTCTGCAGCACTTCTTTCAGTTAAGGCCGCCTCAGACGCACATCCGAGTCATCACAAAGAGAAATGGAGAGATCCATTCTCAGTTCAGGGGCTCCATGGGAGGTGGCTGACGCTAGGCTGGGCCGGTGGAGCTGATGCGAGCCAAGGCTGCTGGGGAATGGAGAGGCCTTTGAGTTAAACTTGACTCTTGGAGTTGTTGCAGCCAGCACCTGACTCGCTTGTAGCTCTGCCGAAGCCTGCGCAGCATGGCGTCCTGAATGCTGCTCGTAATGAAGCAGGATCACCTCCATCAATGCAGGCAAGCTGCTAGAGCGGCAGTATGTTTATAGTTGCTGGAGCTTGTCGGAAGGACAAGAAGACCGACTGTCTCAAGAGTTTGTTGCAGTTGTTGGATCAGCATATTCAAGCAAGTCAAGATTGTAGCTGCATTTGTTTGTGTGGCACTTTGCCTGCCATTGACTGGTCCGCTGAAGTGTGCGGTGTGGGACACCTGACGCCCCCAAATTTCGGCCCCAAAGTTGGGCCGAAGTGTTAACGAACGTTAGCCGGTATAACGGCTGTTAGCGAGTGTTAACGAGATTTCGCGACGTCTCCACTGCAAAGGGCAGTTGGGAGGAGACTGGCGCGTTGGAATGAGACCGAAAAAGCGGCGCTGTTTGGAGTTGCAGCGAGTTGTCTCGGAAGTGTGGCACCCCTTTTGATGTTGAGATGCAAGTTCACACACGGATTGGTTTTTGGTTATCTCTACGCATGTCAAATTCGCGAAGTCGCTCATCCGGCTCCATGCGGCAGGGACAGAGCGTCGGCCGTCGCTGGGAGAGGGGGTGTTGTACCCCAGTGCTGGAACACGTTCGGGCTTCAGCTCGCAAGTGTCCATTCAAATCCGGTTCTGGCGCAGGAATCGGAAAGAAACCACCCAAACTGAATCATGGGACGATTGTTGCTACAATGCTTTGGTGACATGGATGTAAGGAATCATGTTGATCCGACCATTCACAAGCGGCACCTTTTCAGTATGGTGATGCAAGGACAGAGCTTGTTTGGTGTTGTTCTTTCTGCCTCGCCGCTTTGTGAAGCTTCGTGGGCAGCACGGGCATTGATCATCTCATCGTGCTGTGCAAGTGGGCCTCACCATTGCAGAATGTCACATGAAGTTGCCATGTCCACCCGCCCAACCCGCGGATAGTCACGCTCGATTGTGGGACTGAGGCAGAACGAGTTCCTTGAATTGTGGGCTTACATTTTGCTGATCGCGCGGGAAGGAACGGATTGAGCTTGAGAAATTGTGTTTTTTTGGAATACGAAAGTAGAAGGATAAAGTCTCAATTCGTTGGCTACGTTGTGCATTGAAACCCTTGTTGCGGGAAAGTGCCTGCCATTTGCAGAATCTGGGAGCTCGGGAGCCTTACCACAGAATGCAGGAAAAGCCATTAAAGTCGGATTGGCCAATTCTTTTTTCAGGTCATAAACTCTGATGTGAAGCAGGGTTTATATTTCTGTTTTTGGTGAGTGCTGTTTTTGGTGAGTGTATATAAGGTTCCTTTTTTCATATTGGTGAGTGTACATACCTGGTGTCCTTTTGGGGGTACAAGAAATATAAACCCTACTTCATGTAGGGCTAGGGCCTAGGGGTTGAGGCATTGCAACCAAACATGCTGAACTTGTTGACTGCTCAAGCTGCTGGCATTGAATTGACAAACCACAATACGGACAGATCTAGCCTTCCCCTTCACCGTGACCAGCACAGGTGAGTTAGATACATGTAGTTTTAACAACAAGCAATGAGTTCTGCACATGTGTTTTTTTGGGGTCCTGTACGAAGGTTTCAGCGCTGGCTGAAGGACTTGATGGTTACCGACCAGTTTAGTGGGATGGAGCAATAGTGCATCCGTACCTATTCAGACATTGCAAGAACACCAACATGATGCAATGATGGAATGACGACGTTCAACATTGCACGCTGCGTCTCTCGAGGCGACAGCGCACAGAGTTGTAAAGGACACGTGCCATTCATGCAGGCTGTTCATTGTCTTCTGGCACCCTGATCCCGGAAGAGTGTAGACTGCACCTTCACTTAGTGTTGGAATCCTCACCTTGATTCTTCAAGTTCTGCTGGCAGCTTGGCGAGTGTCCCCCAGAGTGCTGAACACCACAGCAAGCCCAAATCGCATCCCAGCTTCCGTCAGGTCGCACGTGCGCAGATCTTCTGCTTCCAAGATGCAGGTGCCGCGCCTCAGGCTTGGGTTTCTTTGTGGCCGCTCGCGGGGAAGTGCAATGTGCAGGTGGCGGCTTCGGAACACCCGTCCGTTGGCATCACAGGTGGAGAGTTCACCACCGGCGGAGCAGGTGCCTTGGCGCGGGAGTTTAGTTTGAGGCGCTGCAGTTGACCCCCATTCGACATGTGCATGGCCGACTTTTGCCTGCCTTGAAGCCGTGCCAGGACAATAGCATACCACAAAGATTGGCCCCACCGCCGCGAGGCCGCGGCACGGTGCAGCTGGGGTCACTGACTTTTTTCACACGCTTGCAACACGAGAGCGAGTTACCCCCACACCCATGTTGCCCAAGTCCGCAGACGCCACGCTTCAGCTTTGAACCCCAAAGTCCTCCTGCTTGCTTGCCGGAGGTCGACGACTCAATTTTCGGCAGGTGCCAGCCTTGGTGTCAATTTGATTGTTGGTCGCTTGAAGAGTTCTCAGCAGTTCGCCTCGTGGGAGTGGCGGTCCGTTGTGTTTCATCTCTTTCCTTGTGCTCCAATCAGAACCTTCAGATGGGTTCTCTGTTTGTTTGCTGCCCATGGCATTTGTGCAATGCCTCCATGTCTGCTCGGCCTGACCTCAGTTCGACCTCGAACCCGAATGGAAGAAGGCCGAGCTCCGCAAGGAAGCCGAGGAGAAGCAAAGAGCGCCCCCCCCCCCCCCCCACGAAGCCCATATTAATGATATTCGTCATATTAATACTAATAATGATGATGATGAAAATATTAATAATAATACCTAATAATAATAATGATAATATGAATAACCTCCTGTTGTCCCTCTGCTCTGGTCAGGAGGAGCAAGACGAGGAGGCCTGGAGTTGCGGCCGCACAAACTTGGGGACCCCTAACAAGTGAGTGACCCCACAAAATGACCCCCAAGTTTCCCCTCTCTTCCCCCGCCCCCCTTGGGCCCCTCCCAAAGCTCTCCGAGGATGGTGTGCAGCTCAGGATCTCGGACATCACGGACAAGGCCCCCATGAAGATGCTCCCCTGAGTACGGCTCAAGAGAGTTGGCGGTAGGAAGGAAGCTTTTGGGGGGGCAGAGCATGAGGGATCCGTCGATGGGTTTTTCGGCGTTTTGGGGGCCCCGGGGACTCCGGAACCCAGAGCTGCCCTCTTTGCCCCAAGCTCTTCTGCTTATTTGTGCGAGGCAGTTGAGGGCCTTTGGCCTCCGGCCCCACTCATGGTGCCGCCCCCAGCACGCCGCTGGCACATGCAGGTGTGTCTGGGTGTGTTTGGCTTAGCACAGGGCTGTTGTTGCAGCTCAGATTTTTTTGGGAGCTTTGGGTCATGAAACTTTCCCGAAGCCCAAAACTGCCAACTAGGACTTCAAGAGCAAAGACAAGCTCATGGAGTCGCTAGACCAGAGCGAGCTGATGGAGAAGGCTGCTACACAACGTTTCTGTTGGCTATCGAAAATAATCGGGTTTAGGATGGGTGGCAGGTCGACGAAGAAGAGCGGCGTGAAGTTGCGAGGTGGGCTGCCGTCTCGAGCTGGCGTCAAAAGTTCATCAGAAGTGTGGAAGGAATCTGCACCTCTGTGAAATCTGATTGGAGCTACTGCGCGCTTCCTTTACAGCAGGCCTTTCCTTTGGCTGCAGCACGAGGAGCAGGATTTCGCGTGGAGCCAAGCGCGGCAAGCTATTCGCCACGTCGAAGTATGTGACGTGGATGCCGCTGCTGCAACAGCTCCTGCGTGGGATCTGTTGCAGCACTTGTACTTGTGGCAGGGCCCGGGTCGGGAGCATGCGCTGCAGTTCCCAGGTCGGAAACGAGGATGTTGGCAGATTCGTCAAGGCCAAGCATGTTGCTAGCGTCCGCGATGCTTCAGTTGAAGTTGCCGAGACTATCGGAGTAGTTGTTTTATCCAGGAAACCTTCAAGCCTTGAGGCACACATGTCAGTGGCTACCAGCCGCTAAAAGATCGTTTTGTCTCGCTCCCACGGCATTCTGACTTGTCCCGTTGCTTGCGCAGATCGCTCGGGATGACCTGCTCGAGCATCTACCAGAAGGAGGTTGTGGAGAGCTGGCGCCTGGGCCTCAGGATCCCTGAGCCCAAGCCGAAAGCCCGCAGTTGGGAGCTCATGCTTTTGCCTGATCAGCGAGCCGCCTTCCTTTTTGTCCGAAGACCTGCACGGACCGCAGGGTTCATGGCTTCTGAGGCGTGACCTGACTTTGATCCCGGACCGCACGCGAGATGTGGGCCGCCCTGGCGGGACTTGGTGTCCGGGAGTGAGCAGTGGGACACTCCACCTTGAGCCTTAAGCCCCACACCATATAACACATCTGTAGCACCCTGATATGCCGTAGTGCTTAAGGGAACTTGGCAGGCCTCATGGTCAGGAAGCTGTCGATCGTTTCGACCTGAGAGTTCTTGCCCGCGCGCGTTTGCGATGCTTTGCCATGGTGATGTAGCGGTGGTTTGAAGTGCACTCCTTGTAGAACAGCCGGTTTTGTGTTGGTATCGAGGGTCCTCAAAAAACGGCTTCCTCCGCAAGTGGAATCACACCATACCATGCATCTGCCTGCCGTTACCAGATCGAACGCCAAGCAGCGATGAACTATACTTTGCATATGGGCACTTTTCTTCACAGGACCTCTACATGGCTCTACGTATCCACGTCTCTGCGCCCTTTTTGAGACCCGGCAGCTCCACCACCCCCCGACTATCCGCCGGATCAACTCCCCCAGGAGTTTGCGATATCCAAGCCCCTCTTGAGTAGTAATTCTCGGATGGCCTCGCCGACTGCAAGCGCTCATGGCATCCGTGAATGGCTACGGAAGCGATGGCTCCCAGATGCCCGGCTTTCAGTTCGTGCCGCTCAAGGTTTGAGGGTTTCAGGGTTTTCCCGTGCACCGTGGCGTCGAGAGTGGTGCGCATAGCCTGAAGAACCTTGTGACATGGGTTACGACCGTAACCGTTACGAGCATGTCTGGTATGTATATATGATATGTGCAGACTGTGGGACTATACATTCTTGACGTGCTTCTGCGTTGCGGCGCCTTATGATTCTTGCTCTCATTATGAATATTGTTATTATTGTTGTTCTTATTCTTGTTATGATTATGATATATGATTTTGAAATGTATTCCGTAAACACGATATTTGAGTGGCCGACTTCCAGAACCTTGGCAAGCCCCACGGCTCCAGGAAAGCTGACTCCCTGGAGCCGCCGAGGTGGGATCACAAAACCCGATATAGAGATACCCTTAGCCCATAAACCCCTACAAGCCCTACAAACCCCACAAACCCTGCAAACCCTGCAAGCCCTACAAACCCTACAAACCCTCACCCTAAACCCAAAACCTAAACCCAAGACCCTAAACCCTTGCCCTCCGCCCGCCCCCCCCCCCCAAACCCAGTGTTGCGTTTATCCTACAAGAAAGAAGCGTGGCAAGGGACATTGCAACCACGAGCGGAGAGAGCATGACTTTGTGGGGCCGAAAACCTCACTTAAACCAGCATTTGAAGCGGGCTGTTCTGAAATTTCTCGGAAGAGGCATAGATTGGACTTGCACAAGCTTGCTAATCTCACCCGGCAAACGGTGGGCACGGAAGTGGAGAAGGCCATAGAATCCTCAAGCCGGCATCCCGATGGCGGGGTGCCCCGGCTCGCCAATACTGAGCCCCAGGACATCTCATTGGGCTCTCGACTGAGTGCAAGTTCCTCGCAACAATCTCTTGAGTCTAGAATGTGTTTCGGATCCCTGTAAGCAGACTTGGTGGTACCACTATCCAAAATGTGACGGTGCATGTGAATGGAGACCATGGTGAGCAGATCGAAAAGGTATGGAAAGAAGCACGCAGAAAACACCAGCAAGAATAGCACGAACATGTGTTTGACAATTGCGTGTTCTGATGGTACAAGTGATCTAGTTTTTTAAACGGAGAAAGAGTTTCTTTGACCTTTGTTGTGTTCCAGAAGCGGTTCGAATAAGCCGGGCACATCCCAGTCGTAAAGCTTGTCTACAATCATAAAAGTTTGTTTCTTGGGGGTGTTTAACATCTTAAGCCCTAACTCCCAGGATGGGATGCAACCCCAGAAGGCCAGGACCCACCCAGCGACAGAATTGGGTGCGAGACTCCGCCGAACGTGCCCAGAAGGAACTGGGACTTCCCGCGTGCCCACATTCAAGAAATGAAGATTTGAAATCCAACAGCAGAACTGACTGTGAACACAGAGCCCATCGGCACTTTGGTCTCACAAACAAACTGAGCCCTGTCGGGTGCAGGGCTAGGGCTTGGTCGTCGTGCTCGGCTTGATCCCTCAACCCTAATCCCTGAGCCCTAAACCCTAAACCCCAAGCCCTAAGCCCTAAACCATAAACCCTAAACCCTAAGCCCTAAGCCCTAAACCATAAACCCTAAACCCTAAGCCCCAAGCCTTAAACCCAACTCACTTGTGGCCACCAGGCAGCCGGAACTGGAGGCCTTTCTTGCGGAGCTGCGACAGGCGCTCCGTGCTCCGGGTGTGTGCCCTGAAGAGCCCCCAACTTGGAGGTTTAGGGTTTAGGGTTTAGGGTTTAGGGTTTAGGGTTTAGGGCTTTTGGGCTTCAGGGTTATCCCAGCCGGATGTGAGTTTCAACTCTTAAGGCCCCCCCCCCCCTCAAGAAACCACACATCGCATGTTACACTCCTCGAGAACCGGCCGGTGCCTGCACAGCGTTAGCTTCAAACACCGAAGCCTCAACTCTAAAGCCTAAACTCTAACCCCCAAGCCCTAAGACCCTTTTGGGAGCCGCTGCCTCGACCAGGAGGCTGAGGATCTTTGGATCCGCGCCGGTGGTGGCGCCCTTTTTGAGGCTGCTTCGGGGTCGAAAGGGTGCATAAGGTTTAGGATTGAGGTTTTAGGGTTTTGGGGTTTTGGGGTTCTGGGGTTCTGGGGTTGAGGGCTTAGGTCGTGCTCCGCTGGTCGTATGTCGTTGTCTGAAGCTCTAGAAGCAAGGGGCTCTGGGAATTTGGTCTTCGAATGGCAGGTTCAAATCTCGGTAAGGTGGCAACCTACCTAGCTGTTCCGTTCAAGTTCTTATGAGTACATGCTGATTTACCCAACAGTATGTGTACAAGTTGCAATTGCAATCCTTGCTGCGACTCATTCAGTTCTCAATGGTCTCAGTTATGGCGAGCAAGGGACCCCTTTGCCTGAGGAAGCAGAACTGGGAATTAAGGGCTGGGGGGCCCCAATGCGAACCCTGACAGAATCCCTTCGTCCGACCAAACGTCCCTTGTCTCCGCTTAGGCAGGGCAAGAGACGCCGGAACGACAGGCCTTTCTGGGGTCTGGGCCATGATATGTTGGGTTGCGGAATTGGGAGGGCAGTAAGCTTCGTGAAGGGCAGCAGTCTCGGATGAAAGGGCTTGTGGCGTTGCTTTGTTTCTTTTTTTCTGTCGCGTTGTGTGTTGCAGGCTCATGAAGAAGAGTTCTGCTCGAGCCTTGGATGCAAGCTTTGCTGTAGCGTGTACAAGCTTGAACCTTCATCACGGCCTAAACTCCAAGCCCCGAACCCCGGAAAGGCCCCTCGAAGCCCCGCGAGTCCTCCTCCTTGAACAGGCGCATCTTGGCAGAGACCTTGCGTTCCATGCTCGACAGCCAGCTTGGCTTGGACCAGGATGGCCCGTGGTTTAGGGTTTAGGGTTTCGGCTGACACGAAGTGTAGAGTCTGACAGGAGGGACAAACCGAACGCTGAGGCCCCCGATTTCATGCAACGAGTGGTTCCTTCAGTGGCTGGAACACTCACAACAGCGTCCACGTCCTCAATTTGCAACCCTGAGCCTGAACTCTGAGCCCCCTTTGTCCCTCCAGCCCTAAAGGGAGCGCAAGCGGCACGGCTCAGCCTTGCGGGCAGCCCCGGGGATTGTTTTGTTTGGTCAACGCCCCGGCTCTTGAGGTAGATCCGGTTGAAAGCCTTGGTTTACTGCACCTCTCTCGCTCTCTGTCTCTCTCTCTCTCACTCTCTCTCTGTCTTTCTCTCTCTGTCTCTCGTCTCTCTCTCTCTCTCTCGCTCGCTCTCTGTCGCGATACACACTAGCAGTTAGCAAGGGTTTGCCACATTTTGTATGTATAAATAGACAAAGGTACGTTTCCTGGGTTGTCTTTTTTACTCGCCTGGCCACGTCCGGAGCTCCATGCAGAGGAGCAGGTGCCGGAGAGGAAGACTGACCTCAGCGAGGTGAGGAAGAAGGCGCGCGCCCTCTGCTCCTGAAAGCTTGAAGCCAGCTCCATGCAAGCCCTACAGCTGCACCGGTATGGCAACCCCTGAAGTTCAAAAACTCAAAACAGCTTGTCGTACACCCTAAACCCTAAACCCTAAACCCTAAACCCTAAACCCTAAACCCTAAACCCTACACCCTAAACCCTAAACCCTAAACCCTAAACCCTACCTAGACCCTAAACCCTAAACCTAAACCTGAAACCCTTATACTCAGCCGATTCAGGATGCGCCGAGGGAGGATGACTCCCTGGGGCTCTCCGAGCTGAGCCGCGCGCAGGAGATCCAGCGGCGGCTTGTGGAGGCTACCTAAAGTCTGGGATTTGGGGGTTTAGGGTTTGGGGTGTAGGTGGGGTTTAGGGTTTGGGGTTTGGGGTTTGGGGTTTAGGGTTTAGGGTTTAGTGGGGTTTAGGGTTTGGGGTTTAGGGTTCAGGGTTTTTGGGCAGGAAGCGGTGGGGTTCTTGTGTGGAGATTGGCTGTGGAAGGCTTCGGGAGTACAGGGTGTTTGGGACTTGGCGGACTTTCATTGCTGGGCGTCGGAAAGGAGCAAAGTACGAATTCAGAGTTTCCGGTCCAGGGTTGACCAGCCCCCCATCAGCGTAAAACCGCGGGAGCTTGTAGTCTTACGGTTCGAGGGCTTGCAGGTCTTGCTTCAGAGGTTCCTTGACATCCCTGGACCCCAGCCCCTCAACCCATCCCATCAACCCATCAACACATCGACCCATCAACCCATCAACCCATCAACCCATCACCCCGCAACCCATGACATGGAACCTGCTCCTGGTACAGCAGGGTGTTGTTTCTGTCTTTAGGTGTGGATTGGGGTGATTCCTGTCATGTCGCGATTGTATTTGTCATGAGGCCAACCTGCGCTCGGGGAAGCCGCAACGAACACTGGTCACAGCCGCTGAAGTCCTGAAGGAGTGTGCAGGGAGGCTTTCTCTTGTGCTGTTAGTGCAGTGCACGCGAGTTTCTGTAATCAGGGTTCCTTTTGGGGATGTTTTTGGGGCCCCAGGGTCTCCGGTTAGAACAACTCCCACATGCGCGATGCTGAAAGTTGAATGCGGCCTGCTGCAGGACTTGCAGACCTGGCCGGTGCCGGAGAAGCTGCTTCCGTGCCTCGGACTTGAGAGCAGCTCACAGATCTTCCAAAACCCCTTAATTAAGGAACATACCCCCAATTCACAATCAGGATCCTTCGTATACATTTAATTAGGGTATATTCCCGAATTAAGGGTTTTGGAAGATCTGGGCTTTTGCTTGGTTTTGGCAGAGTTGAGCCTGGAAGACTCAAGGCCCGAGCTGGCTCACGAAGCCGAGGCTCGAAAGGAAGTCTCTCCATGTTGCAATCACGTCCGACATTGCTCCTTTTCTTGCTCTTCGTTGCTTTCATATGGCTCCTTTGGAAGGCTTGGGCCCCGCTCTACGGCAACCTCTACCCACAGAGCCCGACGTCGTGGAGGCGCTCGGTCCAAGATGGCTTCGCCACGCCCGAGGAGTGCAGGCAGGTGCTTCTTTCAGGCAGTTGAGCTTCAGGCAGCCTGTTTTTAAAAATGCCTGTCAGGGATGCCTGCGGCTTCTGCATCCGTGTGCTGGGCCGCAATGAGATGGCGGGGGTGGGTGTGTTTGCTGAGCTCACCTATAGCTCACGAGAGAATCCAGCCGCTCTCAGGTGCGATGTACTGCATGTTTCGACGTGGCGGTCAAACCTCCCTGGCGGTGGGGCCCTCCCTGGAGCGCCGCGCGGGTGCCCAGGGAGCAGAGCTGCTCTGCGGGCTGGTGGAGAGGCTCCCAGGGGAAGAAGTCGGGGCACTTGTGAGACTTTCCTTGGCACCTGGGGCACATGTGCAAGAATCCCTTTGGAATACGGTTTTTTGGCACTTCAGGACGCGTCTTCAGATTGCTGAAGATGTCGGCCTCGTGGACCAGGTGCACCCCTTGCCGGTGCATGTTGGTGTAGAGCGTGTAGAGGGCGTAGATGGTAGAGTGTGTGTAGAGTGCGTAGAGTGTATACGTGACCTCCCACGTAAAATCGTCTGGTAAGAGCCAGTCTTGGGAATGTTTCCAATGTTCAGCAGCCCGACTACTTCCGACCACTGCAGGGTGAGCCCCGGCTCTACGAGTCTGGTGCACTTCTAACGCGGCTGCAAGCCGAGTGGGACAACGACATGTGGGATGTGAGCACCGGGGAGGAGCATGCGTCTTGACCATGATGAAGCTTATAGAGCTCTCTGTGTCGAGTGCATCATCTGCTGCTTGTACTAGAGCTTTTGGGTCGGACGTCCATCAACACGGGTACTTGGTCTTCAGCACTTGCGGAGAGTGGTGTGGAAAGGTGTACTGGAACGCACACGTGGACAAGGCCGGACCACCTTTTGTTTTTTGGCACCTGAAATTTGGCCGCCAAACTTACCTTTGCTCTATTTTGCTCTCCGGAGATCTGAGGCCAACGTGGCGTCCTACGACTACGCGGCCTTGCTTTATCTGAACACACAGGGAGAGCACTTCGAAGGTGGCGACTTCGCCTTTGTGGACGCAGGAAACGCAATGTTCATGGGGGGCTGAGGGGTGCAAGTAGCCGCCGCAAGATAAACCCCCCATCCTCTTCCCTCAACTGTGTACCCCTCGTAGGGGAAGACTGCCTGGTTGCGCCGAAACGTGGCCGGCTGCTGACCTTCACAGCTGGGCCTGAGAACCTTCACCAGGCCAGACGGAGCGGGAGCAGGGGTTGAGGGCTTCGGCTTGTCTATTTCTTCTGATCCTGAGATGCATGGGTCCATCAGTGCCTCCATGAGACCTCCCAGCTGCTCTCCTGGTGAGGTCCGGAAGGTGACCTCCGGAACACGCTTCGCGCGGCCCTTGGCCCATGTCGTATTTGGATAGTCTTGCTGAGTCTTCCCACTGTCTTTCTTTTGCTGGGTGGGGGAAGCAAGACGATGAAGCATTCCAGGTCCTGGCGATGTGGTTCACTCTCTCTGCGGCACATCAGACACGAGGGGGGTGACTTCTTGAAGGTCATCTTTTTCAAGCTCGACGTGGATGCGCTCGCATTTCGCAGCCTCCGTTCAAGGCGGCCTTGACCCTGCTGAGAGCCGAAGATCCGTGTGCCATCCCGTCTCGCGCGTGGCTGTGCGGAAGTGGGGGCTACTCTGAATTTGTAGGGTACCTGGGGTTCCCTTTGAAAAACAGGGGGCCCCAAGAGAAGAGCCCCGAAGTAGAGATCCGCCAGCTTGCACGCCTCATTCTGCCACACTCGCGGGCAAGAAAAGCCCATTGCTTCCCTGAAAAGAGCGGCCCTCCAAGCACGAGCACGCGGGAGTGGAGCTGTTGCTTGCCGAGGAGCTCATCTCACAGCTTTCCGAACTGCAGCACGCGACGGACGCGGAGGGCCGACCCAGGATTCGCAAGGCACCCGAAGGGTTTAGGGCACCGGAGCCTTCTCCAAGCCTTTGAGATCCTCTAAGTCAGGAAGCCTCTCCTTTCTTCATGCTTTGCCCACAAAGTTGGTGTGTTGCTGTAGGCCTGTCAGTTCCATAAGCACCCCCTTTTAGGCTGGCTTCCTGCTGGATGGGCACAAGGGGACGGGCAAGAGCCAAGTCGCAGCCTTTGTGGCCATTGCACCCTATAATAGTACTAGAATACTAACTAATAATCATCATGATGACAAAAATAATAATAGTAATGGTAAACCCCTGAACCTCTGAAAGCCCCTCTGCTCGCTTTTGCTCCTCGCCAGAGGTCTTGAACTTGTTGGCCATGTGGGCGCGCAAGAATGGCGTGGCTGGCTCGCTTGTGGTGCCAGCCTGCAAGCTGCAACCTTTTAAGACTTTAAGAGGCTGGCTGGTCGTCCTTGAGCCAACTCCCGGCCGATACGCCCGGGAGATCGCGGAGATAAAGCGCTCGAACAATGGGGTGCGGCCCATGCTGGTGTGTGACATTGTGTGAGCGACGTGGGGGCCTTGATGTCCTCGGTGTAGGTCTACATCCAGTCCGAGTTCGCTCAGCAGTTTCTGGAAGCCTTGTCTCTCGCAAATAGACACATGCTAGAGGACGGTGGTCAGAAGTGAAGCAAACTTGGCCAATAGCAAGAGTAAGGCATCTGCAGCAGCTGCTTGAGCCTACAGGAGATTCCGGTGGACACATCCGCCTACGGTTCCAGAGCGATCGATGGAGAGTCACAACAGGCACTGGGGTTTTCGGTTTCAGTACTTCTTAAGTCGATCATCGCTGCATGTTCGGAGAGCCTGGCCTTGAACCTCCCACCGCGTGTCGCTACAGATTGGGGAGTCTTGCGGTTCAGGTCATCAGGCTTTCGCATGCTGTACCACTCTGTGCATGAACATTCAGTTCGATCTGGCCATCTGGACTTCGCAGCTTCAAGCAGACGAGGTATGGGGTTTGGGGCCGAGTGTAATACCCAAACCCTTTGACACTCTGCCCCCTACAAGCCCGTATGGCCCTTGACCAAGAAGACCCAAGAAGTCCAACTCAGAGATGTGGGAGGAGATGGTGGGGGTTGTTCCAAAACCATCCAAAACCGGATGCCCTTCATAGGTTCCGGTGTTTTTTTCCTTCAAAGAAAGGACCTTAAAAGGGACCGCCGACTGGGAACCCTAACTTACAGGGATCCTAATAGTAATAACAATAATAATAATAATCATAATAACAATAACAATAACAATAACAATAATGTGGATCCTAACGTAGATCCCCCCGACGTGGCCATGGCCGCCTCCAGCCCGCTCCCTCTGGGCCTGCGGCAGCCTGTGCTGGCAATGGCCCCGATGGTGACGCAGAGTCTGGGGACCAAGAAGCCGTGGAAGTGGATTGAGCTTGGGCATGCTTGTGCTGTCTAGAACTACAAGACTCGGCAAAATCCCCCCATGTTACAAAACCAGGTAGAACTTCAGAACACTTTTTTTGCATCACACGCAAAATCCCAGGCAGAAGCCCTGAAGCGTCCCGGTAGCTCCAGCCCGAAGCTGACCCCAAGCGTGAGGCGACTACGCCTTCCGGCGGCTGGTGCGCGCGCATGGCTGCAGCCTCTGCTACACGGAGATGCTGATGGCCTCGCGCTTTGCTGAATGTGAGGACTGCGCCCCCTGCACCCTCCAACCTAAACCCCCGAAACCCTAAGCCCTCAACCCCACCTTGGCATCAGTTGGGGCCGAACGCAACTACAATGGAACATGGGCCGAACGCAATTTCGAACAACTGGGGAAATGAGGGATAATCTGTTTCCCCCCCCCCATTCGTTAGTAGGCGAGTACACTCAGCGGCCAGGACTACCGCGCACGGGCTTTTGGCTCCGGCGTGGGCATCCCAGAGCTGCCGCCTTTTGGGGCCTTCAGGGTCTTTTGGGGGCTTTTTGAGGGTCATTTAGGGTAGCTTAGGGTCTTTTAGGGTAGCTTAGGGCGGTTTAGGGCAGTTCAGGGCCTTTAGGATGGTGGTAGGGATGGCTGACGGCGATATTGACAGGAGTTGGCGACTTGGTGTTTTGTAAGCCCTGCTTCCCGAAAGCCCGAAGCCCCAATTAAACCCCACGGCAGGTGGCTTCGGATGACCATCCGCTGGTGGTGCAGTTCGCCGCGAATGATCCTCAGACACTGCTCCAAGCAGTCCTCCACGCACAGGACGGTTCAGAGCAGGGTGTACTGGTAGGGCTAAGTTCAGCCGATCAGGTTGAGGACTTAGGGCTCCAACAATTTCGACCTCACTCCTGCTTGGAACCTGTGAAGAATTTGGGAGGGCTTGAGACTCGCGTTGGCCCGGTGCCACCGATGGTACAGCAGACCCCACAACTCAACTGCAGGAGCCTTCTTTGCACCACTCGGCAGCTCAACCCTAAACAGCCTAAACACCAAACCCAAACCGAACACCTAAAGCCCTGTCCCCTATCCCCCAAACCCTAACCTCTAAACCCTAACCCCTAAACCCTAAAACCCTAAACACCAGAACCCAACACCCTCCAGGACCTGGGAGCAGATGCCGTGGACCTGAACCTGGGTTGCCCCCAGTGGTGGCTTGGCTTTGAGAAGCAGGGGGTGGGTTTAGGGTTCTGGGTTTAGGGTTTAGGGTTTCGGGTTCGGGGGGGCATCAGGATGTGGGGTTTCAGGCATCGTTTGTGGCGTTTGTTTTGGTACAATAATGGACAAGAACAGAAAGTCTTTGGTTGAGGGTGGGTCTTGCAGCTCCTCCTGCGGGGCGGAGTGGCTTCGCGAGCTTAGGAAAGCAAAGCTGGGCTTCTTGGCTGAGATTGCAAGCTGCCTCTGCATCACGCCTCAGACTTTGGGTTTTCTAGGGCCGGGATTCTGGCTCCATCTTGTGGGAGCACCAGAGGGAAGAACAAGCCGAGAAACACAAAGGAAAAGAAGCCCCATGAAGCCCTGAAGGGTTTAAGGTATCTGGTGTTGGGCAGGGTCAGGTGGGGGTTTACAATATTCGGGGTCCCTTATTGGGGTCCTTACAATATTCGGGGTCCCTTGTTGGGGTCCTTACTTTCAGGGGATCCTACTACTGGGGTCTATATTAGGGGTCCTTTACTATCCTACACCCCCAAATTCTTGTTGGGGTTCGTAGCGTCTCCAAAAGTCCCAAGCAAGGCAACTATGGGGCATGGTTGGCCGCGGACTCCGCTAACTGGCCGCTGATCGAGGCAGCTGTGTTGTTGGAACCTTACGAAGCCCAAAAATCCAAACCCCAGACACAAAACCCTAAAAACCACGCGCTCTCTTTTGAGCCTATATTGACCCAGTCAGCTCTGGAACCAGAGTGACCCCCCCAACCTGGTCATCAGGCCATGGTGTCCGCGTGCACCCGGGAGCCGGCAGTGAAAATCCCGGTCTTCTGCAAGATCCGCCTGCAAGCCACAGAGGCCCTGAGGGATGCGAGGTAAGGGTTTAGGCTTACTTTTTCTGGGTTGCAAGAAGCTCCAGGATTTTTTGGTTCGATCCCGGGTTGAGCAAGTGCTGGAAATTTTGCCTTGGGGGTGCTGCTTTTCGAGCCCTGGAAGAACTCCACCGGACCGAGGTTTCTTCAAGCTGCGTGAGGTTGTCGTGACCGGTGTTGGTACACGCTGAACCTGCACATGCCTATATCTTTTGCTTATCTCTATACATAAAGCGAATAGACTTCAAATCAAATAGATAAAACATGAAGATAAAATATGTATGTATGTATATGTATATATATATATAATTACATATAAAAAATACAATAAATAAATCTATAAACACAGAGGCATACATTGGACCCTCTTAGTGGGAGCCGCAGGCCGAAACGCTCGACCTGTCCATGCGGCTGCGCCGAGCAGGCTGCGCGCTCCTGGCGGTGCACGGACCGACCGAGGGGGCTTTGTACTGGCTGGTTCTTAGTGTCTTAGTGGGGATCATGATGGGGGCCTCCTATGTCATCCCTTAAAGGGTCTAAATGGCTTATGGGGGCCCTATGTCATCCCTTAAAGGGTATAACCGGGGGGTTTGGGGCTTCAGGAGCTTCTAGGGCCAGGTTGAGGCTTTAGGTGAAAGATTTGTTGCTTGGACATAATTACCGTAGACCTCGAACCCCACGACGGAAGATGACAAGCCTGAGGCCTCGAGCCTTAGACCCCAAAAAACCGTACAAGCCATGGCATCATGCCGCGCGAACAGGACGCCGCCTGGAGTCTGAGAAAGCCAGGCGCGACGGACCTGCCGACGGGAACTCAGCGGTAGGAACTTCACCCGTTCAATTAAACCGAAAAGCCCTGAACCCTGGTATGTAGAAATCCCCAGATGAATAGGAGGGCCTTTAATATCAGGGGGAGGGCCTCGGGCAATTCTCCGAACGTTTCTGGTGGCGGCATCTTGGCTGCCGAGGACTTGCGTGCGGTAGCCAGGCTTCGCAAAAAGCTGTCAATGCCGGTGCTTACCAATGGACCCTCGGCTGCGTTTCATGTTTTTCGGCTCCGTGCCACCACTTCCCACTGCTTGCTGGTCCTCAGGATCATGACATGGGGTTCGGATTAGACGGTGGAAGTAGCTGCAAGGGGGTCTCAGTCTAGAATCCTGTCAATTAAAGAGTTCCCTAAAGATCGCCCAGCGCGCTCAGTTCTGTGAGGCAACGTGAGATGTGCGCAGGCCCGGGCAAGCCAGACAAGCCCGTGTGCATTGGGACGTGTGCGAGTCTAAGCTTCTGCTTGGCTTGTGAGGGCTGAGAGCTGCGGAGGACGTGGCGAAGAACTTGGAGCTCACACGCTGTGACCTGCCCTCAGTTGTCCCTCCTCCCTGGTTGCCCCCTCCTACTCACCCACGAACAAAACGAGGAGGGCATCATGGTGGCAGAGCAGCTGCTACGAGACCCAGCCCTCTTCTCGCGGGTGAAAGGAGTGGAGCCAGCTCCCCTGCAGCTGATTGACGAGTACTTGACGTAGCCTGTCTCCAAGTCTCCGCGGCATCTGCAGTGTTCGTCCTTAGGGCGCCTTTTGGCCTGCTGCGATCGTGCTTCCAAGGTACTGCCTGGAGCTCGATGCCTCCCAAAGCGGCGAGCGCTTCTCCGTTTGGGACGCCCGCAACGTGGACGTTTTGCGGAACCATCTCAGGCTTGGCTGGCAGGAAGACGCTTTGGACATGTGGGAGCACCTGCAAGGAACTTGAGCGGTTGAATCGAGGGATGCACTGCGCCGTTTTCTCCAGGTAGTTTGCGAGCCGTTGAGCTCCCCTGAAGCTCCTGACACACCTTTTATCTATGGCATGAGGATGCCACAGTCCCTGCAAACTCCGGAATCCCAGAAGCAAGCTAAGCAACCACGCAAAAAACCCTAAACCCTAAGTCCGACCCCCCAAAACCCCGAGAAGAGAGAAGCTTTCCTCGGAGGTCCCTCCTCGTCGGTGCCGTGGGCACTGCCGAGGCGGAGCCTGGTACACAACAGCTCATCGCGGCGCCCCGCGCGCGGACGGCGGCCAGGTGCTTTCGTTTGAAAGCCCCCAACCCCCCAAAGAAGTAATTACTAATGGTATTCCCTTGCGGTCCTTTTATAAATATACTCTAACTAACCGCCGAAACCATATTCTAATTATGAAGGCTTCTACTGGTTTTGGGGGTGTCTCCAAGCAGCTTTTGGTTGTTCGGGGTGGAGTCTTGGAGTGAAGCGCTGCAGGTTCATCTTGGATTGGTGGCGCATCCAGCAGGTGCAGATGTGAAGACGTGCGCACACGTGGCAGTGCCAAGCTCTGGGCATTGTGAGTTTGTTCTCCAGCCCCCAAGCTGTCTCAGACAAGCAGGCACCCTAAACAAACCCTCTGAAACCCAAATCAAGCTGACATCCCCGAACCATTGGGACAGGCCAGCTCGGTGGCCGACGCCGTGACGCGGTACCGAGAGCGCTGTCACACCATCCAGCCCTGCGAAGAAGCAAAAAGGACTTGCATAATCTTCTTTTGAAGGATTTTTAGCTTTTTGAAATGCCCGAATCTGCGGAAGTTTTTGAGGGCTGAGGGCCCTAAACCTTATACCCTAAACCTCAAACCCTAAACCCTAAATCTTAAACCCCTTGAACCTTAAACCCTTAAACCCCAAACCCTAAATCCCAAACCCTAAACCCAGCTCCTGCAGGTGACCCGTCGGTTGTACGAGCCGCTGATCGAGAAGACAGTTCAGAGAGAGGTTGGGCCTCGGTTCACACAGCGTTGTCCATGATCGGACATGGAAACAGCTTTTGGACCTCCCCCTTAACCCTAGGTCCCTAAACTGCCTAACCCTAAACCTTACTTCAACCCCAAACCTTAATGACCCTAAACCCTGAACTGCTTTAACCTTACGCCCTAAACCCGAAGATGCTAGAAATTTGCAGCGTGAACCGAGACACTGCGTCTGAGGCGGACGCGCAAGGCCTCTCCGGACCCGAGCGCTTGCAACGCATCGCCGAGTCGCCCTGGCGCTTTCACCCCTTTCACTCCTTGGGGTGTTTAGGGTTTTTGAGGTTCTTTAGGAGTTCTTTACACTCCTTTCACTCCGGGGGGTTTTAGGGCTTTGTGGGGGGCTTTAGGGCTTTTTAGTTGGGTTTTTCATTTCAAGTAGGGTTTTAGGGTTTTTGGGGTTCTTAGGGTTCTTTAGGGGTTCTTCGTTTCCCCCGTTTTTTCAAACCCTAAACCCTGAACCCGAAGTGCAGGGGGCAGAGTTTGAGTGTTTTCTCGATTTTGGACCTTGGCCGCCTGGCAGGTACCGGCGGCAAGTTCGCATCCCATCGCCAGCGTCCCGGTATCCCGCTGCTGAAAGCCTTCTGATTACTTGCGTTTTCTGGCTTGCCGTGCTGTAAAGGAGCTTCAGTTCACAAAGAGCCTAAATTGAGCCATATTTCTAATTGTCTAGCATCACACTACTACCGTAGCCTAACGTTCCTCCAGCCTTTTGGGAAAGAAGGCTGCAGCTTGCACCGCAACAAGGATGGCTGATGTGCTGAAGCCGCAGAATGTATGGGAGATCGTGGACTTCGGCTTGGACAACGAGCAATACGCCGCACAGGCCTTTCCCTCTTTGGCAAATGCAAACAAAAGGCGTAGGTTGCAAAAGCTTGAAGGGATCTTGGGTGAAGGTTTGAGAATGTTTGAGAGGAGGGCCTCTAGCAGGCATAGAAAGAACGCGTAGGGAAACCAACCCAAGGTGAGGAGCCGAAGGTGTATGGGGCTGAGGCTTCAAAGTACTTAGAAACAGAAAGAGAACGCGAAGAGCATGCGGAACAAGCTGACCCAAAGCGGCGCAAACAAGCCGTGATGGAGTGTCGAGTCTGCTTCAGCTCTGTGCCAGGCAGTTGCTGAAACCTTCGTGCAGCTGCAGCGCCAAACCACGCCCGCAGCTCAACGTTCTTCACGAAAACACAGGAATCAGGATGCAACCGCCGTTGCATTGCACCCCGCTTTCACTGGCTCCTCAGGCATCCAGTTGCAGTCATGGTGGACGACTGGAACGAGTGCTTCCCTTGTCGGAGACTCTGGTTGTGTCCCACTGTGTCTGAGTGTCACTACCACGGGTTGCCAGTTTCGAGCCTGTCCCGTTCTGCTTGGACAGGTTCCGAGTACGTGTCAATCCGATACGACAACACACGGCCCAGCACTCGGAAAGACATCCCTACCTGCGCCTTACCTGAGCCCTAGACCCCAAGCACATACAACAATAAGCCTAAACCCCAATGCCCCAACCCAAACCCGCAAGGGCCTAAACCCTCCATACCCCAGAAGCCTTAATCCGAAAGCCAAAGCCATCCTGGATGCCGTCATGGCTTTGAGAGAGCCCGGGCAGAGGTTCAACGGATACATTCCCGCATACCACCTCTCGATGCCCAGAGCCTTCCACCGCGTGGCCCCTGGTGGGTTCAGAGTCACGCAAGTCGAACGAAGGTTGAGGCTTTTTGGGCTCAGGGGTTTGTCTAGGGATTAGGTTTTAGGGTTTCTGGGGTTTATGGGTTTGCAGGTTCAGGGTTTGGGGTTCAAGGTCAGGGTTTTAGGGATAAGGCTTCGTTCGTGAGTGTCAACGCCCATAACCACAAGACCTTGAACCCCTAAACGGCCCTAAGCCGCCCCGAAACAACGCCCAAGCCCCCAAAGATGCCCAAACCCCCAAACCCTGAAGCCATCCTCTCAGGTATGGAAGCCCCTGCACCCTAAACCAAAAACACAAACCAGACTCCAAGATCCACTTCCACGCGAGGCTGGGACGGCCACAAGTTTCGGCGCGGTACCTGACACCAACGGGAGCCGGCTTTTTCTCAGAGACTTCAGTACTCCTTACTTAAGCAATAGAATCGGCGCAGTCATCGGGATCCTAGCCTGATCTTCAGAATGCTCTTTGAAGTACATGGAGTTTCCGTTCTCTGGGTTTCGCGCATGAATGCATGTTTCAGTGGTTTGGGTCTGCAAGAGACTAAGGTTGCAGGGTTTCTGGTATAGGTTCGCCTAAACCCTAAACCAAAAAACCCAAAACCCTGCACCCTAAACCCTCAGCCCTTAACCCTGGGCCCTGGCCCGTAAACTCCAAAACCCCTCGAACTCCGAAGACCCGAAAACCCTCGAGGCGCGGGGTGAAGATCTGTGCTACCTCATGGATGCGCCAAAAGCGTCAGGGCCTTAGGTTTTGGGGGGTTCTAGGTTCAGGGTTTAGGGTTTAGGGTTTAGGTTTGAGGGTAGTTTTATACGGGCCCCTTCTTGTCGTGCCTTACCTCATTTAAGCGGTACCCCGACGCACGAGAGGTTGAAGGTCTTGGATGAAGGTCTACCGAGTCCAGACAGACGGAGAAGCACACGGAACAAGCTCAGAGACCCTAAGCCCTACACCCTAAAACCTAAACCCCAAACCCCAAACCCCAAACCCTAAACCCTAAACCCTAAACCCTAAACCCCAAAGTTTGGGGCCCAAACCCCCAAACCCCAAACCGCTTGAGGTCGACAGTACCGTCCAGAGCTGCTGGGGGTACGGGACTTCGAGATCAGGACCTATCCAGTTAAAAGAGGGTTTAGGGTTTGGGTTTGGGGTTTAGGGTTTAGGGTTTAGGGCTTGTTGAGACCTTTCATTCATGAGATGCTTGGCGGCAGGACTGTGCGAAACTTCACACAGCAGGAGTTCGCGAACTATGTTATGTACCTCCCTGCTGCAAGCTTTGGATGGCAAGTTTTGCTTTGTGGCTTTGTGGCCCAGATGAGCAAAACGGCCACGTTGGTCCCCTGCAGGTATCTGCGCATCATGGGGGTCTTGCACTGCTTCCCGGCGAAGGCCCTTGGGTGGGTTCCATGCGAGCCTCCACTCAAGCCCTGTGCCCCATAGGTTTGTTGCACTTGGGCTCCCCCCTAAAAAGGCATGTTTTTCCTTGCGCACAGGACCTGGAGTACTTCTACATGATGACCCAGGGCAATGGCAGCCTGCTCAGCACCCCATTGCAGCACCCGGGGCTGACCCCAGAGATTCGGTGGTGAGGGGTCCTACTATGTCGCTGGTGCCCCATGTTTGGAACCTGCTGCATGGAAGAAGGAGTATACTCCAACAGAGACCCCCTGTTCAGCCCATAGCTCAGAGCAACCCCCGTCGGGTTTCAAGGCTGGCAGGCCAGAAAAGTTCTCTCCACGCTGTACTGATGCGGCGCCTTTGAAAGGGCCTCTTGGGAGTCCTTGTCTGTGAAATGTGCAGACTGGCATCTCCCAAGCGAAGTCCTGAACTCGAACCCCTGAATCTTAGCGTGAACCTGCGTGCTGCGCGCGGTGGATGCGTTGGGTGTGTTGTGTCGGCGAAGATCGCTTGAAGGAAAAAGGTTCAGGCATCTGCCTGTGATGAAGCATGGCTATTCGACGTGCGCTTTTTCGGATTCTGAATCCAGCTTTTGCTGACCCTGCGGAGAACTGCGGGTTATTTGTGCGAAGTTTTTCGATTGACGATTGGGCTCAAGCCAGCTGGGGCCAACCACAATCAGCAGCACCTTGGAACCTCGAAGCCCTGACCCCACACCCTCAGAAGCTTCGGCTTAGCCCACCAACACCAGCTTCCGTTCCAGCAAGGCTGCTACGAGAGGCCCAGATCTTCTGGGAACCCGAACCCGCCCCCAACCCAACCCCCATAGATACCTAAACCCTAAACCCGCTGCAACCCAACGAACTTTGACCCCAGGTTTAGTCAGCACCATGCCATGTCCGGCGCGCGATGATGGCGGCAGGCAGTTTGGGTTTGTGTGTTGTGGTTCGGGTGCCCAGGGCTTCAGGGGTTGCAAGGTTTTCCGGAAAAGGCTTTGCCATCGCAGCGGCGATCTAGAAAATGGTTTCGCAGTTCGCACATTCTCAGAGGCCGACCCCGAACCCGAAGCCCAACAACACCACAATCCCACCACAATCCCTGACAAACGTAGATTCTTAACCCTTTAGCCCTAATCCCCCCTAACAGCCTTAAATTCCACATCCCTAAATTCCGGAAGCCCTGCCACCGGGCGCGCTCCAGGTTCGGACCCTGGTGGCGCCGGAACCACCGGCGGCTGAGGCAGTTGACAGAGGGGGTGCTTTTCAGTTTACACGGCGGTTTGTTGGGGTGTAGGTTGGGGGACTCTACACCCTAAAGCCTCAACATCCCTAAGCCCTAAACCCTAAATCCTAAACCCTAAACCCTAAGCCCCAAACCCTAAACCCCAAACCCCAAACCCTAAACCCTAAGCTAGACCCTAAGCAGCTTGGCTTTTGGAGCTTCGGCATCCTCCTCTGCAAGCAGCCACACCAGACGTATGGCGGCGCTTCGAAGCCAGGGTTCACGGGTTGGGGGGGCTTACCCGGAACGCCCCCATACCCCGGCCCCCAATTACTCAAGAAGGTCCTAGAAGATACCATGATTCATGCCAAGAACCCATGTATAGTTTGAGGTACATTCCTGAAAATCATGGGTCCTGGGTACCCAGAATCTTCGCCTGCGCTACAAGTGCGTGTGCCAGTGGACCTCGTTCATTTGCGGCTCCGGCTGTCTCAACCTTGGCTCCAACGTTCCCATGCTGGCAGTCGGTAGTAAGCGGGTAGGTTCTGTGGCTGGCGGAACAAGAGCACACACCAACATCAACTTCTAAACATCTCGTACATAGCTTTTGCATGGGTCACTAGATGCTTCTCGAATCAGCAGAGCAAGACACTACCAGGCACTTTCTAGGAACTCGTTGAACACTCGCAATATCGGCGCTCCACTGCGACTTGGTCTGCAGTTGCTGCTGGAGCAACAAATTGCAGCAATTTGGTGAAATATGTAGTGACCGCTGATCTATGTACTTGTGACCCTACACCCTGTACCTACCCCTCACCCCTCTTTACCGGGCAGTTCTAGAATCAGTGACGGTCTGACCAAGGACATGAGATGGCAACTCGGTGTGACATGGAGGGTTGCGAGGGAAGGTGGACTCCAAGTGATTGTCTTGGGATGTCTTGGGCCTCTGTTGGTCAAGCAGCATGTGCCAGGACGCTCTTGCGCTAGAAAGCTGGGGCTTTGCTAGGGGAAGTGCGCTGGTATGGCAGTCATTGGCCATGGCTGGGCTGTTCCCCGCCGTAGCTGCCGAGGCGCTGTCCAAAGCAGAGCAGGAACAGCTCAGACGGCTTCTTTCGGGGAAGACGCACGAAGCAGAGGCGGCCGAGGGACATTCGTACGCAATACGTACATATGGACATACATCAGACATTCATAAATACATACATGTACATTTGTATAGAAGAAAAACTTGATAAAGGCAGATGGGATAGATGAGAGAGTGATTCGCAGAACTGCAGCGCTACTTGGCCGGTTTCATGCACGATCTGGGGGCCCATAAATCTCAGCCTCTATTCTCGAAAGACTGGGTCTACAGCCTCTTGTTGTTTCTATGGTCCTGTTATCATGAGTACTACTCTCACTAGGCATGTTCATCTCGCATATGACTGTACCGCATACGGCTACAGCTTTCGTGGCTCTTCGGGTCGAGGGTCAAGGGCTCCTTCTACTCAAACCGACAGGAAACCAAGCCCAAGCGGCGATTTGTAAGCTCGCGGACGAAGACTATGATGCCCCCTGGCAGGTTGTTTTTGGTTGCTTTAGGGGTGTTTGGTTTGACAGTTTCCGGCTTGGGCAAAGCGGTCAGAAGCGAATCGCTTCTGGACTTTTTGCTTCCAGTCTTTGGGAGGCTTGATGCAACCAACCCTAAACCCTGAACTGCTGAAGCCTTCAAGTTTCGCTCAAGCCCAGAGCCTCTGAAACCCCAAGCTTCTCCGCCGCGGTACCAGCGCTTCCGTAAGCCCTAAACCTTAAACCCTAGACCCTAAACCTTAAGCCTCGAAGTAAGGCTCCGGAGCCCCATCGATGTGCGTGATCTCAGCTTCCGGCTGTGGCTCGGACCGATGTGTGTACAGTGCTCTAGTGATGGTCACTTTTGTTCACATGGGAGCTGTTTAATTTTCATATATATATATATATATACATATAAATAAATAAATATAAATATATATATATATGGCATAAAGCATATCATATCATATATATATATATATGCAGAAGATATACATTATATATATACACATATTTATGTATGAAGTCATATATAGCGTATATAGCATATATAGCATACGCGGTATATATATATACATGTGCATGTGAAACGTGGTGATACAACATGTAAATGAATACATGAATAAATGAATAAATGAATACATGAATAAATGAATAAATGAATAAATGAATAAATGAATAAATGAATAAATGAATAAATGAATAAATGAATAAATGAATACATGAATACATGAGTAAATGAATAAATGAATAAATGAATACATGAATAAATGAATACATGAATACATGAATAAATGAATAAATGAATAAATGAATAAGTGAATAAATGAACAAATGAACAAATGAACAAATGAATAAATGAATAAATGAATAAATCAATAAATGAATAAATGAATAAATGAATACATGAAATAAATGTAAAATGGAATAAAGAATAAATTGAATAAATGAATAAATGAATTACATGAATATAAACATGAATGAAAATGAATACAGAATACATGAATACATGAATAATGATGAAATAAATTGAATATAAATGAATAAAATGAAAAATCTAAAAATAAATGAATTAAATGAATAAATGAATAATTGAATAAATGAATAAAATGAATAAATGAATAAATGAATAAATGAATAAATGAATAAATGAATAAATGAATAAATGAATAAATGAATACATGAATACATGAGTAAATGAGTAAATGAATAAATGAATAAGTGAATAAATGAATAAATGAATAAATGAATAAATGAATAAATGAATACATGAATACATGAATAAATGAATAAATGAATAAATGAATAAATGAATACATGAACAAATGAACAAATGAACTTGATAGGATCCACGAACCCGAATGCAAAAACAGTCACCTATAACGTAAATATAACGCAATATAAACGACACGTTGGTGGCGGGCGGACGGACCACCATCACGGACCACCACCACGGACCACCACCACGGGACCACACCATGGGACCACCACCACGGACCACCACCACGGCCCACCACCATGGACCACCGGGACCATCACCACGCGACCGCCACCACGGACCACCACTACGGGACCACCACCACGGACCACCACCACAGGACCACCACGGGACCACCAGGGACCACCATGACGGACCACCACGGGGCCACCGCCACAGGACCACCACCACGGACGACCACCACTACAGGGACCAGCACCACGGACCACCACCACGGGACCACCAACACCATGGGACCACCACCATGGGACCACCACCACGGGACCATCACCACGGACCACCACCTGGGACCACCACCACGGACCACCACCACGGACCACCACCACGGACCACCACCACGGGACCACCACTACGGGACAAACACCACGGACCGCCACCGCGGGACCACCACTACGGAACCACCACCACGGACCCCCACCACGGACGACCACCACGGGACCACCACCACGGGACCACCACCATGGGACCATCATCACGGGACCACCACCACGGACCACCACCACGGACAACCACCACGGGACCACCACCACGGGACCACCACCACGGACCGCCACCACGGGACCACCACTACGGGACCACCACCACGGACCACCACCACGGGACCACCACCACGGGACCACACATGGGACCACCACCAGGAAACCACCACCACGGACCAATTGCTGGGACCACTACCACGACCACCAACGGACCCACCACGGGACCACCACCACGGGACCACCACCACAGGACCACCACGGGACCACCACCACCGGACCACACTGTGGGACCATCGCCAGGACCACCACCAGGGGACGCGTACCCTGTGGAGTTCCCCCTTAGCTTGACGGATTCGGAACGCCGCGGAACGCCGCGTGGAACGCCACGGCGACACGCGCCGTGTGAAGTTCCCCCTTAGCTTGACGGATTCGGAATGCCGCGGAACGCCACGTGGCACGCGTCCTGTGGAGTTCCCCCTTAGCTTGATGGATTCGGAACACCGCGGAACGCCACGTGGAACGCCACGGCGGCGCGCGTGCTGTGGAGTTCCCCCTTAGCTTGACGGATTCGGAACGCCGTGGAATGCCACGTGGAACGCCCCGGGGACGCGTGCCCTGTGGAGTTCCCCCTTAGGTTGATGGATTCGGAACACTGCGGACGCCACGTGGAACGCCGCGGCGGCGCGCGTCCTGTGGATTTCCCCCTTAGCCTGACACGCCGTGGAACGCCACGTGGAACGCCCCTGGGACGCGTGCCCTGTCGAGTTCCCCCTTAGCTTGACGGATTCGGAACGCCGCGGAACGCCACGTGGAACGCCACGGCGGCACGCGTCCTGTGGAGTTCCCCCTTAGCTTGACAGATTCGGAACACCACGAAACGCCACGTCGGCGCGCGTCCTGTGGAGTCCCCCCTTAACAGCACGCGTTACGCCACTCGCGAACGCTTGCGGACGCTTGCGGACGCTTGCGAACGCTTGCGGACGCTTTGCGGACGCAACGCAACGACGTTTGGTATATAACCACCCAGCCCAACTTTAGAACGGGAACCCTTCTGCGGAGCATTCGGCAATAAGTGAATAAATGAATAAATGAATAAATGAATAAATGAATAAATGAAAAAATCAATAAATGAATAAATGAATAAATGAATAAATGAATAAATGAATAAATGAATAAATGAATAAACGAATAAACGAATAAACGAATAAACGAATAAATGAATAAATGAATGAATAAATGAATAAATGAATAAATGAATAAATGAATAAATGAATAAATGGATAAATGAATAAATGGATAAATGAATAAATGAATAAATGAATAAATGAATAAATGAATAAATGAATAAATGAATAAATGAATAAATGAATAAATGAATAAATGAATACATGAATACATGAGTAAATGAATAAATGAATAAATGAATACATGAATAAATGAATACATGAATACATGAATAAATGAATAAATGAATAAATGAATAAGTGAATAAATGAACAAATGAACAAATGAACAAATGAATAAATGAATAAATGAATAAATCAATAAATGAATAAATGAATAAATGAATACATGAATAAATGGATAAATGAATAAATGAATAAATGAATAAATGAATAAATGAATAAATGAATAAATGAATAAATGAATGACTGTATAGACCTAAATCAATGAAATATTGTGTATATATATATATGTATTTATGGTTCCATGATCCATGCCTTTGTTGGAATCTTCAAGGCCCGATGCCCTCTCCTGGCTCCCCTCAGCTCAGAGCCACAAGTGGCGAGCATGTAGCCCTCGCTCTCTCTGCCTCTTTCTCTGTCAATATACATATGTATGTATATATGTATCTCTCTCTCTCTCTACATATACATAGAGTCGTATATATATATATATATATAGATATATAAAACAAGGGACCCTTAGCTAGGGGGCTTCTGGAAACTGCGCGACGCTATCGCAGGCAGACCTTTCCCTTCTTCTCCAACTCGCATCGTGACTTCCTGTCCCTGCTTTCCATGGAGCTGCCCGGATGCAAAGGGAGAATTTCGCTGCTGCGGTGTGATGTGTTTTGTAGCGTGGCTTCGAGAGAGTTCCCTTGGATCCTGCAAAAGGCTGGATATTCGCATCTTTCATCCTGGTCAAACCATCTTGCGAGAGAGCGAGTACGGGGAGATGACCTATATCCTGGTGCATGGCGAGGCAGTTGACGTGGACGATGGTCCTAACGCCATGGCATGCGTCGACATGAAGTGATAAAGTAGTTCCATGTCGTTGCAAAAAGCATGAAGAGCTACAAGACAAAGCCTTGGAACTCCAACAGCAGCTACTTTCGCCCAAAGCTAGCCCAACGGTAGAAGCAGAAAGCTCCTCTGTAGCTAGCAGATGGCGCAGCCGGGCACTGCAGCAAATGCTCCGAAGCTCAGTGCCGGCTCCGTGCAACAACTGGCTGCCGGAACGTTCCAGCCGGAAGCAGGCTGTGCATCTGGCCCCTCCGTGCAAGTAATTGGCAGGAAGCCAGCCCGTGAGGGCAACAAGGACCGCCGCACTTGCCTGCGCATCTCGGATGGCTGCCACTACCTCCTGGCGGTGTTGGCCGAAGACATCAAGGACCCGCAGCAGGGCAGCGTCATCCAACTTCTGGACTGGTCCTGTGGGAAATTCGAAGGCCTCCAGGCAGTGTTTGTGGAGGATTGGGACCAGGCCTCGCCCGAGTGCTTCGGCATCTTGGGAGAGCCGGTGGGTGTGCCGACGGCGACGGAAGCGTCGGAAGCGTCGGAAGCATCGGCCGTCACGAGTGCTCCGAGTGCTCCGAGTGCTCCGAGTGCTCAGCTTGCTGCACCTCATGCGGCCCAGGCCACTCACGCGGTGGCTCAGGTGAAGTGCCAGAAGCTCCTTGAGCACGAGAGGCCGGTTGCAAGCCCACTGCGCAACATCCAGATGTCCCAACCTATGTGCTCTCAGCGAGACACGCCTTCCTTGGCATCCCCATCTGCCATGGCTGCCATGATGCCTGCCTCCGCATCCCTGCCAGTGGTGCCGATTGCACAGCTGAGCTCCTTCATGCAGCGCTGTAGGGTGATGGTGCGTGTGTTGAGTAAGACGGACATGAAGACTTTCAACAATGCGCGCGGGCCGGGCAAGCTCTTCTCTATGGATCTCATGGATGCAGAAGGTGCGTGCGTCCGTGCTGCCTGCTTCAATGGAGCTGCAGACAAGTACTTTGGCCTGATGCAGATCAAGAAGACCTATGAGATCAACGGTGCCTCCGTGAAGCCTGGCAATCCACGGTTCTGCAAGTACCCCTTCGAGCTCACGCTCGAGGAGCGCAGCACATCGGTCGTTGCTTTGCCAGAAGACGGATCCATCCCCCCCATGCCATACAAGTTTGTGCCGCTTGCTCACCTTGCAACCTCTCCGGCAGGTAGCTCCTGTGATGTCATGGGTGTGGTGCACTCCGTGGAGGAGCCTGTCAGCCTTGCCACCCGAAACCAAGGGCCACGCCTGAGGCGCCAGTTTGTGATCCTTGACAGCTCGCAGGCGTCAGTAAGCGTGACGCTCTGGGGACAGCAGGCCGACCTTCACTTCGAGGTCGGGTCGGTGATCTTCATCCGAAATGCCAAAGTCAGCGACTTTTCTGGCCGGAGCTTGGACCTGAATGCCGGCAGCTTCTGGGAGGCCAATCCGGATGACCAGCGCGCCTTCCAGCTCAAGGCCCGAGGGCTGCTTTGTTGTGTGTATTGCTTGGGGGAACACCGGGGAACATTGTCTAGCACAGGTCTGGAACCTTTGCTTGTCAAGCCTCAGCCTGCGACTTCTTGGCATGCCCCCCACTTCAGGCCTGGTACCAGGGTGGTGGCAAGAACGAGCCTGTGCGCTTCATGCTGACGACAAGCCAGTCCTCAGCCAGAGGCCGCAAGAGAAGCCTGGCCGAGATGCAACAGGAAGATGCCCTGCTGCAGCTGCCTGGTGGTGATGCAAGCAGCAAAGCCCGCACGGTGCACTACCACCGCGTCTCGCCCATCACCGTCACGGCGGTGCGAAACGAGCGGACGCCTTTCTACTGGGGCTGCACGCATGAGGTACCAGGGTTGGAATCCAAGGTCCGGGCGTGCAACAAGAAGGTGGAGAATGGCCAGTGCGCCGCAGGCCACATCTGCCCCGAGCCGGTTCGCAGCTCAGCATCCCACAGTAGATCTAGTTTGGGGGCGGAGAGGTGGACAGGTGTGTGATGGTACATGTAGACATCTGATATGAGTTGCCCAGAGCCTTGTGTTCTGAGCACCCCCTTGTTGAAGCCTTTCTTGCAAGGCCGCCCGTTTCATTCTGAACCTCACGCTCACGGATGCCACTGCTGCTGTCCGCTGCCGAGCCTTCGGTGAGGCGGCCGAAACGATTGCAGATGTGCCAGCTTCCGAGTTCGCGGTGCTGGAGAACGAGCGGTTGGCAGGCAGCATCCATGCAGAGAAGACCTACACGAGAATCTTCAGGAACATGTACCGGCGCTGGGCGATGACACTGAAGTGCCGGAAGGAGTGCTTTGAGGGGCGTGAGCGCGTCCAAGTTTCGGTGGAGAGCTGTGCCCCTGTGGACTTCGTGTCAGAGGGCAAAGAGATGGCCGCCGCCGTGCGTCATGCTCTGGGCATGTAAGCTTTGGGAAGCTCGCCCCATCCCTCCCCAGCCACAGTTGTCGAATCGCAAATAGAGGCTGGGGAGCGGAAGTACAGTACTAGCCGCAAAGGAGGCCTGACCTACAGGGTCAGACTTTCGGACATGAAGCCTCCACAAATCTCTTCTCTTAGTACCCGAATTTGATGTGGCGCGCAGCGCAAGTTTCGGGCAGTGCATGCTGACGAGGGTGCGCCCAGCACTCCTGCCCTGTTACTGGTTCTCAGCAGGGAAGTGGGGAAATCGGTTCCCTAATCATACCTCTACGAGGCTCACGTGGTACTCGTTTCTTAGCTCCCTGCTAAGAACCAGTATGGCCCCCCAGATCTCTAGCCAGCCGGGAAAAAGAGTGCTTTCGGGCTGGGCCCCAAGGAAGATCCCGAAAACACAGAACAGGGCTACAAACCCCAACGACTATCATGAAGCTCTGGCACTGCAGGTGGAGGTGGTCACGGAATCCATGCCGGAGGCTTGAGCTTCGGGAGTCCGACAGGAAGCTGGCCCCACAGCATGCCGGCCCCCTGTAGACCGGTATAGGGTTTGGGATTCAGAGGCGTTTGTTTCTTGAGTCTGGGGCTCGCGCTTGAGCCCAGAGACAATCCGGCGGCAGGGTCACCCTCCCATCCGGATGCGCGCCCCCTCCATCTTCGGTGAGAGCCCCTTGCTGCTGGGGGCTCCTGCCAGGCCGGGTTTTCTGGATTTCAGGGTGGAGTGGCCACGGTGTTCGTGTTCAAAGAAGGGGGGTTTAGGGTTTAGGGTTTATGGTTTAGGGTTTAGGGTTTAGGTACTATTGAGACCCGAAAATCCCCTCGGCCCTCAACCTTGGCAAGTGGAGGGGCCTCAAAGCAAATGTGGAAGTAATCGTGTCGTTACTAGCACTTTATATACTTTTTACAGACAGCCGCAGGCAGCAAATTACCGACTGTAGATAAATATATGTGTACAATTTAAAAAAGAAAGATATACATCTTGTATATACATATACATGATCCCAGATTTTCTATTTCTATTTTTTGGGGACTCACCTTTGCTTCAAGGGGCCACCGTCGGCACACCAATTTGCACAACCTCCCTCCCTGCGAGGCGGACGGCCACGATCATCGCTAAAGCTTGGGGCCTCAGGGATTCGGTTCTTGCATGTTTTTCTGGTTGTGCAAACTTATTGAACCCTATGCAAACACCCTCCCTCCCCCACCCCAGGCGTTGTCTGCTTTGCAACGCGCCTTCGGCCGCGCTTGGCTTTCGCCAAGGCCATCTGCGACGTGCGCATGATCCACCAGCGGATCTTCAATCAACTGCGCCTCGGCTGAAGCCCCTGAAGCCCCTGACGCCTCAAAGCCTGAAGCTGCGACAGCGCCCAAAGCCCCCAAACCCCCCAAGAAAGTCTTAAAACCACCCTCCCCCCCTCTCCCCCTCTTCTTCAGCTGAAACCCGCCATGCAAGGGCCTTGCAAGCTTCCAGTACCCGAGGCTCAGCCACTTCCCCTCGGAGCGGTTGGTCTATCGGAAGATGGCCAAGGAACGCTATGGGAAGAGGCAGCTGCCAGCTTCAAGGGTTTAGGGTTTAGGGTTTGGGTTTAGGGTTTAGGGTTTGGGGTTTAGGGTCTAGGGTCTAGTGTTTAGGGTTTAGGGTTTAGGGATGTTTAAGGTTTAGGGTTTAGGGTTTAGGGCGGAAATCTGCAAATCGAGGCAGGCTGCTTAGCAAGGATGCGTTTCTTCCCAAGGGACCCCCGCACGTGGGTGATGCGGTCTAGGGCTTGTAGGGTTTATAAACCCTAAACCCTAAACCCTAAACCCTGAACCCTGAACCCTAAACCCTGAACAACCCTAAACCCTAAACCCCAAACAGCCCGAAATCCTAAACCCTAAACGCTTAAGGTTTCACGGTTTGGTCCTGCTTGCCAGGCGGCGCAAGAGGCGCGGTGCTTCGATTTGCTCCACGGAGACGAAGGCTGGTTCTTAGGTCTTACACCCGAAAATCAGGTTTAGGGTTTAGGGTTTGGGGTTTGGGGTTTGGGGTTTGGGGTTTGGGGTTTGGGGTTTGGGGTTTGGGGTTTTAGGGTTTAGGGTTCAGGGTTTAGGGTTTAGGGTTTCAGGTTCAGGGTTTAGGGTTTAGGGTTTCGGGGAACAAGGTTCAGGGGGAAACGGTAGGGTCTACGCCCTCTCAGGACACCCGGGCTTCCTCTGTGGCCTCGGTCCTCGAGGAGCCGAAGGCGCGCCCGGGGGTTTGGGAGCTGAGCGCTTCGCCCTGGGACCTTTAGGGTTTAGGGTTTAGGGTTAAGGGTTTAGGGTTTAGGGTTTAGGGTTTGCGGGATGTTGCCCCTTCTACTTGCAGCTCCTTTTACTCGGGATTCTCGTGTACTCCCCCTAGCATACTCCCGAAATAGGGATTGCAGTACCCCCCCAGTAGGATCCCTAGTAAGGGCTGTGAGCATAATCCCAACTGATACCCCAAACCTCACATCCCCTCATGCCAGAGGCCCCTTGAGGGCCTACGCATCCCCGAAGCATCACCTGCTTGGTTTTTTCATGGTACTTAAAAAAGCCAAACATAGCTGTACTTAGAACTGTACTTCGAACCATCTTGGGGCACTCAAGGGGTTTAGAAGTGGGTTATACGTACAATGTATAATTGGTCAAGAAGTACCATGAACCTCCAAAAAAGAACCCAGGCCCCTTATTAGCCTCCTCTTTGTCATACGCACGCCACGCCCGAAGTTTCAGGAGCTGGAAGAGCTGGAGCCCCGCAAGCCGAAGCCCCGAAAGGCCCCCGAATTCGACACCGTGTTTTTGGGTTTTGGGTTTTGGGTTTAGGGTTCAGGGTTCAGGGTTTAGGGTTTAGGGTGGGTGGGGGGAGAGGGGAGAGCTTCAGCTTTTCTTGAACTTCTTTCTGGCGCAAGATTCGGGGTTCGGGGTCCGAAGGGCTGGGTGCTGGTACCGTGCCACAGCCTTTTGAGTTTGATCCGGGGTGGGGTCAGGGTCTCAGGCTCTGGCTGTTGATTGCTTATGTGCCTTCAATGAGCTGCGTACTTTCTCACCCTACAAGACGGAGTAGGAAGGTGTCCCACAGCTTAGGTCGAGTAGGGTTTGGCCCGAACAACATCCCGCGGTGCTTGCCGCGAAAGTTTTACGGACTTTAGGGATTTGGGGTACGGGCTCGTAGGCGTTTAGTGCCCAGCCTAGAGGTTCACAGGGGCTTCAGGGGCCTTCTAAGCCGAAGGTAGGAGTTGAGAGGTGAAGCAGTTTTGCATGTTTTGGAACGAGTTGGGAATCCTCTCGGCTGAAATGTCCTGTCTGGTCTGCCATTCTGCGCCCAGGCGCCAGGTGACGTTACCCCATCCCCACGGGGCGTGCATCTTCCGCAGATCTGAGCGACGGCACCCTATCGCCGCCAATCCATCGCTTCATTAGCTCCAGACCTGTGCATGATGTTGGGCAGTTGAAAGCAGATCTTTGAGCACCCAGACACACCCCGATCATTCCCTTTTCACGTCTTTCTGCGTGCACGGAACTGGACTCGTGGGATACTGTTATGCCTCCTGAGCTGAACGCGAAAACTGTGGTTCACCTCCATGAGGGTTTCAGTGTGAAGTCGAATGAACACCGTTCGTCCTGCAAAATGTGTACATGGGCCAGCGGGAATAGGTGAAGTGGTCGACTTGTTGGTTAGTTTGGGCTGTTGTTGCCTTCAATATCCATGAGCCTATGAATACATGATTGTATTAATCTGGTCTTTCTGCGCATTTTCCAAGATCTTGTGCAGAAAGACGATGTGCACCTGGCGAAAGCAACACAGTGTTGTTCGAGCAATGGGCAGATATCAATCGCACAGGTGCTGGAGCCAGACGCGCAAGTCGATTTCCGAGGGTGTGCTCTGCGAACGCAGACCAGCCAACGATGGTTTCCCCGGGGGTGGCTGCGTAGCAGTAGAGTTTTTGCTATGCGTAGTGTATTGTCGAGCATATTCCAGGCTGTTCGTTCCGATGCAAGAGTCAAAAGCCAGTTCTCCTTGAGTGCAGCGAGGGAAAGTGAGCCCGGGCGCTTTTGGCGTCGAAGAATCCACGAATCCCGTCTTGTCGCACCGGTGGGGCTGACCTTGTACAGCTTGGTTTGCATTAGCAGACCGCAAATCTCCGCACTCTTCGCAAACTCAACAGCGGACGGCGAAATCGGTTCACGGCTCAGGGCTCGGGGTTCGGGGCTGCGGTTGATCCTGGGCCACGGATCTATATAAACCCTAAGCCCTTAAACCCTAAACCCTAAAATGCCCTAAGCCCTAAGCCCTAAACCCTAAACCCTGTTGATTCATACTTCGCCCACCGCATCGGGTGATGTTTGGTCTGTCTCGATTGTTGCTCCCCGAGCTGCCCATCAACGCTGCGGCAGATGCGTTTCGCTGCGTTATTGTTATTGTTATTGCTCCTCTTCTTCTTCTTCTTCTTCTTCTTCTTCTTCTTCTTCTTCATGTTTGAGGGGCTGCGCCCATGGGTGGGCAGCGCAGGCAGAAGCTCGAGACTGCCGCCCATGCCGCTGCAAACCGGGAAAGGGCGGCGCGCGCGAGCGCGTGCGTGCGCGCCCTGCGCGCGTCTCTTTTAACGACAGGGTCAGCTGTAGGCTTTCATAGTCGGAACGCACGGGTTTGGCGCCGGGGTCATGTCAAAACCATGACCCTTCAACCCTATGTAGGCTTTTGAGCTTGCTTCCTTCCTTAAAAACCCCAAGCCGCAACCTTAAAAAGTCCTAACAAATGCCTTTAAGCCCAGCTGAAACACCCACAGCCACACCGAGGGAAGGTTTATGCACGCGTGGGCCGCCGTGTCATCCAAGGCCGACGCCGCTGATGCTCATGATGCGCGCCCGAGGTACCGGACAGCAAGGGTCCACGGCAGTCCGTGAAGGAAGGGTTTGGTGAGGGGGGTGGGGTTGAAGGGGTGGGAGTTGGGGGCGTTGGGGTTGGGGGGGAGCCCTTAAAACACTTCATGAGCAGGCTTGGGCAGCATGGGTTTGAGATCGGCGGGAGTTTGGGCATGCATTGGAGCCCTCAAAGCACTTCATCAAGGCAAAGGGTCCAGGGACGCACTGGAGCCCTCAAAACACGTCATTCCAAGGCAAAGCAGCAGGTTGGGAGCAGGCTGGGGCGGGGGAGTAGTGGTGGTGGGCGGCCCTATCGACGAAGCATTAAGAGCATGGGAAGGGACAATGGAAAGAGCGGGGAGGGCGGGGAGGGCGGTGCAGAGAAAATGAGTCTTCACTGACGCCTTCGGGGGTCGGCGCATTAATTGATATTCATAAAAATGTTGTGATTATTATTATTATCATTCGTATTATCATGATGATTTTGATTAGGATGATGATGATAATGATTGTGGTTATGATTATTATCATGATTATTATGATTATGATTATGATGATGATTGTTTTTTCATTATCAGTATCATTATTATCATGATTTTTCTCATTATCATTATCAACATCATTGTTATTCTTCTTGTTATTGTTATTGTTACTGTTATTGTTATTGTTATTGTTATTGTTATTGTTAGTGTTAGTGTTAGTGTTATTGTTATTATTATTGTTTTCGTTATTGCTGTTGTACTTGTAAACGCTTGCGCGCGCCGCCTCGGCAGCCGGGCCGGCCCCAGGACAGGAACGGAGGAAAGAGGGTTTCGCAAAAAAAGGGGAGGAAGGGCAGCGGGGTTAAAGGTGGGGGGGTGGGGGGGGGGGGGTGGTTGGAGGGGGGGTGGGGGGAGGGGGAGGGGGGAGGGGGGGGGAGGGGGGGGAGTGGGGGAAGGGGGTGGGGGGAAGGGGGTGGGGGGGGTTTTGAGGCCCCTGTAGGAGCCACCGACAGGCGGGACCCTCCACGGCATCGGTTTTGCAGCTCCTCCAAGCGATTGGGGGGGTCCCACAGGGCGGGGGGGGGGGGGTGGCGTCACAAAATTTTGCATGGGGGGGTTGTGTTATTGTTATTGTTATTGTTATTGTTATTGTTATTGTTATTGTTATTGTTATTGTTATTGTTATTGTTATTGTTATTGTTATTGTTATTGTTATTGTTATTGTTATTGTTATTGTTATTGTTATTGTTATTGTTATTGTTATTGTTACTGCTACTGTTACTGTTACTGTTATTGTTATTGTTATTGTTATTGTTATTGTTATCGTTATCGTTATCGTTATCGTTATTGTTATTGTTAATATTATTATTGTTATGATTATTATTGTTATGACGATTATTGTTATGATGATTATTGTTATGATGATGATGATGATGATGATGATGATGATTGTTATTATTCGCCTCGGCTTCCTGCCGAGAAGCGCCTGGAACACGCAGACCCGGATCTCCTTCCCCATGATTATTATGGTTATGATGATGATGGTTATGATTATGATTATCATTATCGTTCTTAGTATTCTTCTTATTATTAATATGTTTTTTGTTTCTTTTTCTCCCTCTCTCTCTCTCTCTGAAGCCACTCAGTCCCTGAACGTCCGGAGCCCCTAAGCCCCTACATAGATCCCTGGAGCGCCTACTAGGCTCAATCCAGAACATGCTTGTCCTTTTTTAAAGCCATGTAAGGGGTTCTGAGTCTGAAATGGGGTCTATTGCCCAGTAACAAGAGGGGTACCTTCCTGAGTTTACTGCGCTCCCTGGGGAGGTGGCCGTTGGTTTTGGCCGCTTCTTTGCTGGCCTCGGCGGCTTTCGCCCTGCCCAAGAAGGCGCAGGATGAAGCCACAAGGCCGGGTTTACCCAAAACCCACCAGGTCCTGAATCCTTGGGCCTCTAAGCCCTGTTTCAGGGTTCCTTCGGGTTCCGGGTTCAGGGTCGAAGTTCGGGACTCATTACGTTTTGCCCTGTTGAGCTCAAGAGGATCTTACGAGAAGAGGCTCATTTCATTTGGGGTTTCAGGGCCAACCAGAAAACCCCAGGCCCACCAGAGTGGGTTCAGAGAGCGGGTGGATGGGGGTACTCCCTAAACCCCCTAAACCCCCTAAACCCCCTAAACCCTAAAAGCCTAAACCCTAAACCCTAAACCCTAAACGCTAAACCCTAAACCCTAAACCCGAAACCCGAAACCCTAACCTATGTCTCTTATCGAGGAGGAGCAGGTGTCTTGGCATAATCTTTGCTGGACATGCTTTGAAATTTACGAGTTCACGCCCTTGGATTTCCAACCCAGCCCTCGATTTCTTAATTCTGGTCGTTTCTCAGTGCAGTGATTTCTTCGGCGGTGCTGCGACTGTTGGTATGGCTCTACTGGGTTTAGGGTTTAGGGTTTAGGGCTTAGGGTCTTTGTATACGAAACCCTTTCCGAGTCCCATTCCCCTTTCCAACGAAAGTGGCACTTGAGCCAGGTGTGACCCTAGAGCTAGAGTCAAGCAAACCCCCTGCTAGAAGGTTCATTGTCTAGTGTTTATATGCTATCCTAGGACTCTTCTCAACGGCTCCTTCATCGGAGCCCTGGATCCTGACTTGAAGCCGACGTCCTTAGGAGTATCGTTTGGGGTTTAGGGTTTAGGGTTTAGGACGTATATGGTCAGTTCTCGAGATGATCCGAATCCAAAAGCCTTGAACCCTAAACACTAAACCCTAAACCCTAACTCTTAGCCTTGAACCCTAAGTCGCGCCAAGTCCAAGGCCGCAGCAGGAGATGTCGAAGAAGACGGTGAAGAAGTTTAGCCACAAGGTCTACCAGATGGAAGACTCCCAGGCTCAAGCACAAGGGGGTTTCGACAATTTGGGGCATAACAAGGCGCCCCGCTTTCTTCTTGGGGACATCGCATATACCAAGAATAAGCGCATATGATGAGAGAGACCATATAGGTTAATCATCAATAGCGAGGTTCAGGTTTGGAAGTAGGGTTTAGGGGTTTAGGGTCGAGGGTCTTAAAAGTGTTACTGATGCCCCCCCTATGCCCCTTGCTGGTCGCTATGCTGGGAGGGCAACCTAAACCCTACACCCTACATTGCAGGCACTGGATTTCCTGGAGCGGTGGTACCAGGGCCAGGAGGAGCACAACGTGGCTAGGGGTTCCTGGTATCGATTATCTACCCACCCACCCTTTGGATCCCGTAAATTATTTTCGTGTTCGTGAACCCTAAACCTTAAATTTTAGGCCTCAAACCCTAAATCTGTGAACCCTGAAACTCCAGGGCTTGAACTCTGAACCCTAAATCCACGAATCTTGACAACCCGGACCTTCTAGACTTCTTAACTCTGGAGCCTTGCGGTTTGGTGTCAGGACTCCTGAACTCAATCCCGGTGCTGGAGGGGGTGGGGGATCCTCTGGTGGTAGGTGGGGGGGAGGGGGTGGGGAGGGGGGGATGGCCGGGGCGGGAGGATGGCAAATTTGCCGACTGCTAGGCAGATTTGCCGACGAACAAGCAACTTTGCCGACGGTGCATGAACAAGTTTCCAACCAATGGGCAAGTTTGCATACAAAATGCGCCGCCGACTTGGGCCATCAAGGTTGACGTACATAATTCCAAAAAGAGAGGTTTTAAGGTAGGAAGTGCAGGGTCGAAAGGGGTAGGAGCTGAAAAAGCAGGCCCTGAACCCTAGTCTCCTTTGAACACGAAGCCTGGCAGGATCTAGGCGGACTCGCGCGCATGCCCCCCAAAGTCCGGCAAAGCTTCCGGCCATGCCCCCAGCACTTGTCATCTTGGGGGCTTGGGATGGCTGGGAGTGCAGGCGTAAGGTTTCCAGGGCTTAAATTAGTGAGGTTTGGTGTTTCAGCTTAAAGGTTCAGGGCCTACTTATTCGGGTTTCTGGGCAAGAGAAGGTGTTGCAACCCTTCGGGGCCTGAGATCTGCACCTATTCAAGCCTGCGGCGGGGAGCGTCGTGCCCAGAGATGCCAGGACCATGTTCAACAACATCATCAAGGCTTGCTCGGGCCATGGGGTTTCCCACCTGATACCGAGCATCTTGTCGGGATTCCGGCACAAGCCTTTGTTTTTGTCTGAAGGCCCTGAACCCTTCCCGCACCATGCTCCCTCAACCCCCTTTTCTGGTCTGGCTCCTTCAGGTTGAGTTTCGGTTTCGGGGTTTGAAGCGTTCAGGATGAAGGGTATTGGTAGCCTCAACCCTGAAAATCCGACATGGAAGCTCTGGCAGACCGCTGGAAAAGACGGCACAATGTCGGAGAGCGTCCTGTGGTGACCCCTGGGTGAGTTCGGTTCTGGCCCGGCACTTCAGGGCTCAGCCTTTGGGAGCAGGAGCTCCTGCCCGTGTACGACCTTCGCATCGATTTTCAGGACTTCGTTCGGGACTCCAGAGCATTTTGGGCGCAACCCTACCGAAGAACCTAAGCCATCCTAAAGTATCCTAAAGCATGCATCGCATCATCGCCTGTGGTCGTCTCAGCATAACGCCAGGGAGGGGTCTGGGTCAAGGCCTGCTCAGAGCAGGTCCTGCACGAGTCTTTCCATCATCTGCAGTCTGTAACGGCTGCTTCAATTGTCAAGAGGCAACATGCTTGCAACCATGGTAGCTTTTCTTGCTGTTTCGGCCTTTCCTCTCCCCGGGGCCCGGGACCTTGCTGTCGAAGCCTACCGATTGAGTTTGATCAGGGCCAAGGCAAATGTCTCTGATCGTGCAAAACAAACGGTTGCTCAGATTCCAGGACGTGCGAGGCAGCTCTTAACAGAAGCCGGGAATGCGGTGTTCGACGTTTCTGGACTCAAACGCCTTGAACGAGAAGGCCCCAGAGCCCAAGACCCCAAACCCTTTACATCATCCCTAAGCTCCCAAGCCAAGAGGTACCAGCGGATGCGAGCTGCGAAGATTGATGTCAACCCAAGGAGGGTGCCGAACCTGTGCAGAGAGTCGGGGTTCAGGGCCGGGCCTGCAGGCTCTGCCGCCCTGTGTTTTTTTTGCCTTTAGTTTGGGGTTGAGGCGTGGTTCAAGACCCAAGTACCGAACACCCTAAGACCCTAACACCCTAACACCCTAACACCTTAACCCTAAACCCTAAACTCTAAACCCTAACCCCAAAACCCTAAGCCCTAAACCCTAAACCTGAAGTGGCCGAAATCCGACATCCTGGAGCTTGCCAATTCAGGACGTTCGGCAAGCTTGTGGCGGCAGCTGCGAGCAGAGGGCTGGCCCGCACCCCCGGTGTTGGTTTAGCGTTTAGGGTCTAGGGTTTAGGGTTTGGGGTTGGGGTTCAAGATGTTCAGCAGCAAAAGCCCCACAACACTCATGACTTCGAAATGGGAAGCCGGGAGGCCCAAGCTATCCTAAAACCCTCAACCTCAAGTGAGGTCCTTAAGCCAACCGAACCCAGAAGGGACCTGAACCCCTCATCCCAAAGCCCCCTAAACGCCAATACCCTAGAACCCTAGGCTCCTGCACCAGGAAACCCTCGCCTTAAAATCCAAGGTTTCTTACAAGGTCCCTGAGTATGGGCCCTTAAATGGGACCCCTTATATACTCATTCTATTCCCTATACAACCCAAGCCCATCCTTCAGAACCCCTTTACAGGAAGTAAGGGACCAGATTCAGGGACCGTGAAACGGCCCTTCTTTATAAACCCTAAAACAACCACAAACCCTACAAAGACTGTAAACCATACAAACCCTGTAAACCCTGTAACCCCCATTAACAACCTCATTATAAAGCCCTGTAACTGCCCGTAAATAATGATAAAACGCCTCAGGTGGAGGAGGCTGAGCTCTGGCTCGAGACCATGGTGGGGGAGGCGGGGAGCATCTCGTTTGGCGGGGTTCAGGGGTTTTAGGGGTTCTTAGGGGTTTTGGAGGCTTTCGGGGTTTTGGGGGGCTTTCGGCGTTTTAGGGGGCTTTCGCGGTTTTAGGGGGTTGGGGGTTTTAGGGGCTTTTAGGGCTTTGGGAGTTATTGAGGGTTTTAGGGGTTTCAGGGGGCGGTGTGGGGGTGTCGGGATAGATGTAGGGGTTGCTGCGCCTCTAACCCCGAAACCCTAAACCCTCAAAAACAGTCCACGGGTCTCGTGTACACGAGTGCGAGCGATTGACCCTCAGACCAAGCCACAGCCCATGGTGGTCCACTTGGAGGTTCATGGTACTTACTAACCCAATAGTTAACCCAATAGTAATTGTACTCATCACACACATATAACCATGTTACTTAAGTGGGTGATAAGTGCAGCTATAATTGGTTTGGAAGTACCATGAACCTCCAAGCAGGGTCTCCAGCCGGACCTGGTCACCATGTCCTCAGTCATCGCTGCCTGCTGCGAGGCCCAGGACTAGGATGGCCCTTGCCTTGGGACAGTTTATGTTTTCCCTTTGTTGGGACAGCTTATATTTTCTCTTTATTGGGACAGTTTATATTTACCCTTTACATTTTTCCCTTTTTGGGTTTAAGAGGACCACATTCAGGAATGGTTTCAGAGGGTTGTTCAGAATGTACCCAGTGTGCAGTCTGGCGCGCGCTAGGAACTCTTGGGAGTGGCGCAAGGTTCTTGAATCCAACGAAAACCCTGTCGAGCCTGCCTCTCTGTTTGCTTTTCTGCTTCTTCAAAAGCCGTGTGGGGTTTGTTTTGCCGCTGGAGCAAGGCTCCAAACCCGCTAAACCCAGTTTGGATGCTGCTTCTCACCTGGACCCCCACACCAAGGCTTCAACAGCTGTTGCACTAGGGTTCTCAGTCTCCAGTGCAGTTCCACATGCAACGTGGAACGGTTCCACAGTCAGTAGGATATTCAGTGCACAGCCAGCCCGAAAAGCTTTCCAGCCCTAAAAGCTTCAACCCTCAACCCTATCCTCAACCCTCAACCCTCAACCCTCAACCCTCAACCCTCAACCCTCAACCCTCAACCCTCAACCCTCAACCCTCAACCCTCAACCCTCAACCCTCACCCTCAACCCTCAACCCTCAACCCTCAACCCTCAACCCTCAACCCTCAACCCTCAACCCTCAACCCTCAACCCTCAACCCTCAACCCTCAACCCTAAACCCTCAACCCTAACCCTAAACCCTCAACCCTAAGCCCTCAACCAGGCGAAGGAGCCTCTTCGCGCCGAGCGCTGGTTCCAGCTGTTGCTGCAGCAGCGCTTGACCCCAGACCTGTCGGGGGCCCCGGGATGCGACGCAGCCGTGAGGGGTTTAGGGTTTAGGGTTTAGGCTTTGTAGGGCCTTCTAGGGTTTAGGGTTTTTCATAACATTGTCCATCTCACAATGCTCATACATCTTCCTTACTCTTGTAGTCCGTGGAATCCTGCGAAAGTCGTTCGACCTTAGTCTAGCCCAACCTACTCCCGGAATGCGACCTTGTGGGTTGAGGGATGCTGAGGGGTTTGGGCAAGGCACTCCCCGAGGCTTCTCCGAAGATTCAGGGTAAATCCTCCACAAATCGCTTCTGCCGGTGTGAGTTAAGTACCCTCGTTGCCCATACTTCTACTGCATATGCTTCGGGTTCCCTTTCTTCGGGTTCCATCCTCGCTTGGTCAAACTTAGGTTTTGCTGATCTGCTGAGGGTTGTCCTCCCGATTTAGGATCGAGAGTGTTGTGTCTCACTCATGATTCAGTGATATCCGGGGTTTTTCTGAAGGCTGGCACCTGCATAGTGGGGTCTTCGGACCGTGGTGCCACCTCGTCTGAGGATGCATTAAGGATGCATGCAGCAATCGCTGCCACTTTACGCTAGCTCAAAGTCAAAGTTCTTGGGGTTCCCCCCCTGTGGAGTTCCCACCCTTTGCCAAATCCTGAGGCCCATTCTGTCTGAGCCCTCAAACCCGTGAAGCCCTCTGAAGACTCCAGACCTCACCAGTTTGCATCTTGGGTTTAGGGTTTAGGGTTCAGGGTTCAGGGTTTTAGGGTTCAGGGTTTAGGGTTGGGGGGGGTTCTGGGTTTAGGGTTTAGGTTCCCAGGTTCGTCTACACCAGCATGGTGGACGCGCACGCCGAAGCGGGGGATGGCGACAAAGCCGCCGCGTGGCTTCAGCGGGCCGTGGATGCAGGCCCGGCGGGCGCAAAGGGTTTGGGAGTTCTTCGGCTCTGGGGTTCGTAGGACCTTGGACCTGGGCAGGGAACACCATTGAATACTGGAATATCATGGAATAACCCCAAACCGTTGGAAACTTGACTCTGGGGCGCAGTACCGTGGACCTTCTGGACCCAGTGCCACTAAAAACGCCAAAGCCCTAACGCTCGCTCGTCCTCAGTGCCCAGGAATTGATGTCAGCACGGCATGCTACAACGTCGCCCTCTCAGAGAGGTTGTTGTGTTTTCTTGGTTTTTGCTTTGTATCGATGAAGACTCCGAGTTCGACCGAAGGAATTCCCTAAGCTGGCTTAGAAATTCAATGGGTGCCGATGTTCCATGAATCCACATGACACTGCAATCCACAAAAAGACCTCCAAAAAGAACATGCTGGAAACCCTGCGCCCAAGATTTCAGTAGAAGAGACTTTGCTGCTGTGCCTGGACGGCAGCACTGAGGCCGTGATAAAGGCGTACTGCCGCCAGGGCGATCTGGAGGCACACTGTGTCGAACGCACCAGGTTTTGAGGGAGCAGTGGTGTTTTGACTAGAAGGGGTTTCTTTAAAGTTAGGCTCGGAGATTGGGGTTTGGGCCTTGAATCTTGCGGGGCGGGTGGATTGATGCAGTTGCTGTGGACTGTTTTGGCATTCTCGTCCTGATGACTATTCTTCACGGCACGCGAGTGTCTTGCTTTCGCTGCCCCCATGATGCCACGCTCAAATGGTTCCTAAGTTCCCCGAAAGGTCCCAAAAGGGAGCTTCAAAGGAACCCTAGCACGTGAACTTAGAGCGAAACCCACGTGGGGTTGGGGATTCTGGGATGCCCCGCTCATTCGATTTGTTTTTGAACCCTGTACTGCCGGGTTTCTGTCTCGAACGGAACGTTTGTAATAAGGACCCCGAGCCTAGAGCAACCCCCCAAGCGTGGCACCTGAGGCATTCCGCGAGGGGGATCAAGGAGCATGAGAGAACAGCCCATCCCTGGACCTGAGAAGCTCCTGGCTCGAGGTAGCCAATGAGTGGCTGGAGAAAGCCAAGGCAGGAGGGGACTTTCGCGAGGTGAGCTGAGTTTCGACCCCCCAAAACCAAAACCCCTAAGCCTTTCAAGGCTGAGCCCCAAGCCCTACATGCTTGGCGCAAAAGCTTGAGGACCAGGGGCATGGCAACAGTATCAGGTTAGGAATGACAGAAAGATACTGAATGGGTCCAGGGTTCAAGACGAGCTTGGGATCTGGTGCGCGGATGTTCACAGGTCGAGTTGATCACTTCCACATGTCAAGACGCCCCGCGACATGCGCCTCGAACTGTCATACCCCTGGAGTAATCGTATGAATAGGAGCAGTGTCACTGAAACATCTGCTGCCGCGGAATAACAGTAGAATGATCTTGATGGCGGGAAACTCGTGCTCGCTCGAAATGCAGGGATCCATGCTTAAATCGTGGCAACTAGCTCCACGGTGGCAGGCAGCCGGCCACACGCTTGACATCATGTCGTACAACACCGCCGGAACCTGATTGTGAGATCAACGCCCTAAACCCGAAAAAAAGCTGAACCTTCTTTGGGGACTCTGAATCCTTAGGACAGGAACCCCGAAGGGGAGCATCATCGTCCATAATTAGGAGAACTGACCGACTGACAGCTGGTCAAAATCCTGGCTAGCACCAGGGGTTTTGCGATTGCAATCCCGAAGTCCTAAGCCCGAAAGGTTTTCTTGCTGGTGGAGGGTTGCGAAGCTACCTAAAGAGGGTCTGGGCTTACCAAGCCCCAAGCGGTGGTGGCTCGAAACTGTTGGCCCCGTTCTGTGAGTTTTGTCTAGGGCACTGACAGCCTGCACATCACTAATCTTTGCGGGAACCCTCAACCCTAAACCCTAAACCCTAAACCCGAAACCCTAAACCCTGAACCCTAAACCCTAAACCCTAAACCCTAGCCTCTACTGTGGCCGAGGTCTTGAACTTCTTCGCCGAAGAGGGGGACATCAAGGCGGCTGAGGACCAGCTCATCCAGCCTCATTAACTTTCTGGTCCTTGGCGAAAGGGTTTAGGTTTAGGGTTTAGGGTTTAGGGTTTAGGGTTTAGGGTTTAGGGTTTAGGGTTAGGGTTTAGGGTTTAGGGTTCAGGCCCTCAGTAGTTGGAATAGAGGACTGGCTGGACAAGATCAAGGCCTCGGGGTTGCAGCCGGACCAGGCGGAAGTGCTGTGCTTCTTGTTGGGACCTCTTGGGGGTAGAGTTTGGGGTTGAGGGTTTGGGGTTTAGGATTTGGGGTTTAGGGTTTAGGGTTGGGGTTTAGGGTTTGGGTTCGGGGGTTTGAGGTTTCGGGTTTGGTTGGGGTTTGGTAAGTTAGCATTCAGGGGCTTTGGGGCTAGCAACAAGCAACAATGGGTGTCATCAGGCCTCCGAGGCTTCGGCATAGCATGCACGTCCGTGGAGCGTTGCCGTAGCCACCGTGCTGAAAGGTTTAGGGTTCTGGGCTTTCCATTGTCGCGGTTCTCCAGCAACATGTCGAGCTTCTATGTCATCCTGCGCCGAACAGGGCCAAATACTCTTCCGGCAAAGATTTACTTAGGGGGCTATATCTTCCAAAGTTTAAAACCGCTCGAAAGCCTGCAGAAAAGCCTGGCATCTCTGGCGCGACAGAATCTTGACAGGTGTCCTTCAACACCATGATCAAAGCGGCGAGCGTGTCCAAGCGATTGCCCGCCAGACATGGTTCCGCAAATGCTGCGCGTTGTAGTCTGGTCTGGGTCTTGGAGTGGTTGAGATGATGGTGAAGGCAGCAGAGGGATGCTTGTCTTCGACCAGTTGTGACAGATGCTTCATGCCCTCAAACCATCAAAGAAGCTTAGGCTCCCCTGGCATCTCATGTCGAAGCCAAGCCAGGTCAGAGACGGAGAAGTACGTGAAGGAGATGGCATCATACCGCCTTCAGCCTACCGCGGCGACGTACGTGACTCTGGTGCGCAGGGGGGATGTTGGGGCAACTGGTGACAACTGCCATGTGAAGGTCACGTGCTTGCGGGAGTTTGTAGAGGGAGGAGCATAAGACCTGACTGTCTCCGTGGGAAAACCCCCACTCGAATCCTTGTAAACGAACAGCCTTGAAACAGTGAGCCAAGGGAGCCAAGCAGCCAGTTGAACCTTGACAAGCAAAACAACGGAGACATCAATGGCAGCACCGGCCTGCATGCTGTCCACCAGCAGCCTACGTGTGCGGGCCAGGTCTCTGCGTATGCGGACAAGGGCGATCTGAAGAATGCCCAGCTTTGGTACGACAAGGCGTTCGCCAGACAGAGGACTCAGTTTGTTCCGGTTTTGTCGTTTGAGGGTGTTCGGGTCCGACTTGTAGGCACCTTTTATGTTGTTAGTATGCTTTGTCCCAAAAACAGTACGCAAAAGAAGGAGGGCAGCATGTAATCTCCCGCCCCACTTCAGTCCCGGAGCCGACATTACTGGCTTGTGCCCATGCTCCCAGGACAGGAGTTCCTGCATGCAGGGAAGGTTTCGGGGGTTAGGAGTTGGGTTGAGGGTGTACGGTGTTTTGGACAAGAAAGCCCAGCAGAGTAGCAAGGAGTTGGGGACCTGAAGCGTTGCAGGGCCTAAACCCTAAACCCAAAATCCTACTGAGAGGCGGAGGCCGCGACGGGAGAGAAAGTGAGGGCCAAGACCGTTGCCGCGCTTGTCAAGGCATACGTGAAGGCTGGGTGCCCAATGTTTAGGGTTTAGGATTTAGGGATTTTGGGGGTTTACGAAAATGGGGGCCCCCCCCCCAATATAGATCCCCTAAATAGTAGGATCCCCTTATAACAAGGACCCCAAGAAGGCCCCCCCCCCCCCCCCAAATTCGGAAACCCCCCCATGTATCTTACCTGCCCTTGCTTGTATGGAGCTGAGCAGTACGCTGAGGAGTTGAGAGTTGGCCTTGCTCGCGCGTCCAGACGCGACCGCGAGCTCTCCCTAAAACTTTTGCAGCCCCAAACGGCGGAAGGCAGCGGAGTACTTCGGCCATAGGCCCAAACCAGAAGCTCCCAGGCCTTCTTCAAAGTGTAATTAAACCCTAAACCCTAAACCCTAAACCCTAAACCCTAAACCCTAAACCCCCAAACCCTAAACCCTAAACCCCAAACCCCAAACCCAATAAACCCTGAACATGTGCGCGCCTCGAAGACTCAACCAGGCCGGGGACGTGCAGGGTGCCGAGCGCTGTCTCGCCGACGCCGTCAAGAAGGCCTCGCGTTGATGGGTTTGGGGTTTTGAGGTCCATGGTTTAGGGTTTAGGGATAGGGTTTCGGGTTTAGGGTTTAGGGTTGAGGGTTTAGGGTTTGGGGGTTTAGGGTTTAGGGTTTAGGGTTTAGGGTTTCGGTTAAGGGTTTAGGGCTAGGCATCTTGGATTTGAGGGTATAGGGGTTAGGGTTCCAGTGTCCAATTCTCCCAGCAATGACAGGACGGTATGGAGCTGAACAATGTGGCAGCTGCCCCAGTTATGACTGGCTGGTTCTTAGTAGGGAATGAGGGAATGAGGTATCCTGTCCCTGAAAGGGTATATACCTATACATATGTATATATATATATATGTAAATAAATAAATAAATAAACAAATAAATAAATAAATATATATAGTTAATACAGGGCCAGAATTCCCTCATTCCTTCCTAAGAACCAGGGGATAACTTGCATGGGAGGGAGGCTTGCGGCTGTTACTTCGTTTTGATCCACAGGGTGCTGAAGGCGGCGGTGGAACGCCTGGATTCGGATTGTAAGATTCCTGAAGTCTCAAGCTCGCCTATCTTGACAGCTCAGGCTTTCCTGTTCTTGGGCCCTCCGCTTTGGCAGGCGTTCTCCTCTTTCTTCCAGTCGAATGGCCTTCATCCTTAAGTCCCTTTAACCCCCCCAAAACCCGATTCTAATTCTTCAGGCCCCTATGTTAATGCCGAACCCTGGTTCCGAGGTGTACACCACCATGATCAACGCCTACGCGGAGAGCGGGGACGTGGATGGGGCAAGCGCGGGGCACTCGAACGCCCCAGACTTTCAAGGTGGCACTCAAACCCAGACCATAACCCGAAATCCTAAGCCCTAAGCCCTAGCTAAATCCTGAACTGCGGACCCGAAATCCTAAGTGAGCCTAAACCTGAGACCCAAAAAAATCTGACCCCTAAACCTAAACCCTAACCCCCAAAACCCTAAACCCTAAACCCTGAACCCTAACCCTAAACCCTAAACCTTAAACCCTAAACCCTAAACCCTCCGAGGCCTGGTTCCGGCGCGCGCGCGAGCCGGCGCCCAAGCAAAGCGGCTCTTGGGGCTTGTTTGTTGTGGATTTTTTGGTTTAGGGTTAGGGTTTAGGGTTTAGGGGGTGGTTAGTTTGGGGGATGTTGTTCGGGCTTCTTTGTTTTGGGTTGGTTGTTCGGGCTTGTTGATTTTTGCTGTTTTACGGAAGACTTGTCAAGGCTTTCGATTTTGGTGTTTGAGCTTTTGGCGGTTGTTTTGATGTGTTTAGTTTTTTTTGGTTGGGGCTTGGAGTTTTAGGGTTTTGTTGGGGTAGGGTGGTTTTTGTGGGGCTTGAGTGGCCTTTTGAGAGATTAAGTTGTGCATTTGTGTGTGTGTGTGTGTGTGTGTGTGTGTGTGTGTGTGTTTTGTTTATTTGTTTATTTTTTCTTTTTTTGGCGGGGGGGGGGGGGGTTGTTAGGTTTTTTTTCAGGGTCTCGTGTCTTTTTTGGGTTCAGGGTTTGGGGTTTGGGGTTGCCTTTGATTCGGTTCAATAGTCGTCGAAGTTCAACAAAGAGACCCGGGAAGCTGACAATTTTTTGCAGGGAAGAGGATAGGCTTGCCGACGCCCTGTTCTTCTGTTCTGCCGACAGGAAATCCCGCGAACGCTTAAATCTGTGGAGCTACAATGCCGGCAGCTTAGCTTGGCACAGCTGGAAACTAGCAACGTTCATGCACAGACCCCGAACCCTAAACCCGAACCCCTAAACCCTTCGCCTTAAGGCCATGATCAAAGCATGCGCCAATGCTCGAGCCTGGACCCCAGGGCAGAGTGTGAGGGGGCATTCTCCAAGCAAAGGAGGCTCTACACCTTCTAAAGCCCCTTAGTCTTTCAACCCTAAACCCTTAACCCTAAACCCCCTCTACCTACCCCTGTACCTGCCCCCTCTACCCAACTTCTAGTTACCCCCTCTACCCAACTTCTAGTCCGACAATGGATGCAAAGTGATAGGCATGATTTGTCAAAGCTGAAAACAAACATTTTTGCAAGGCTCGACCGACAAGTTTGTGAAACAAAGCAACAGTTCTCCTAGTTTGAAGGTCAAGCGAACTTTTGGAAATTTTGCAATGGGTTTAGGCCTAAAAACGGTCAACTTTCCCTGTTGCTGGAACCAAGAATCTCCAATGTCACGGACTTGCAAATACCAACCCATCACCAACCCAACACATCGTCGACCGAAAAGCACAACCCAACAAAACCTAGACACTGGCCCATATACTCCAGACCCCCAAACCCCAAACCTCCTAACCCCAAACTCCTCTAAACCCTAAAGCCCCACCCTCAACCCTCAACCCCAGAGCCTTAAAGCCTCCACCCCGAAGCCACAAACCGAACACTGCAAAGGCCTCAACCCCAAACTGTATGAGCCCCCTAAGCCCTAAGAACTAGCTCTTGTTCAGGATCCCGCGAGAGCCCAGGCCTGCCATGAGGGGTCAGCTCTGTAAAGGATGGTCCTTTTGGCGGGGCTACGCTGATTTTTGGGGTCATGACTTCGTGTTTAACAACTACCCAGCAATTTCGTTTGGGGTTCAAATGATGGTACATGAATGTCCCAAGAAAGGATTTAGGGAACCGTATGGGGCTTCAGATGTTGTTTCTTTCAGCGTTTGCAAGAGTGGCGCTCTTTGGGGTTTTTGCTTTATCGCGCTTGCAACCGTGGGACGTGCAGCTGACATTGTGTGCAGTTTGAAGTATCAGAGCACGACGTTCTGTGGTTGCCCCGCGCTGCTTTCGCACCGGAAGCTGCAAAACCTAAACCCTAAACCCAATCGGTGTCGAGCTCCAGCTTGCGCACCAGCAATGGTTCAACATTGCCATTGAAGACGGCCTCAAGCACGGGACTCAGAACAGCCTCAGAACTCTTGCTTAGCTACCCGAGAACCCTAGGAGCCTCTTGCTCTGAGCCTGAGCCTTGAACCCAAATTACACCACAAACCTTGAAACCTAAAAACCGCAAGCCTTCTTCGTCACCCAAGCCGATGCTGGGAGGTTCATAGTACTTACAAGCCTCCTTAAACGCCTTAGTACGGTTTTTCAGTCCCGTTATACTTGGTACCATGAGCCTCCAAGTACTGCTTGCCTCCCACGGCCCAGGCCGGATGTCTGGAGCTACACCCTGCCACTTGGTCGAATGCTGCCCAGCTCTGTGTGGGCGGGATCATGGCATCCAAAAAGGGGCCTTAAAGTAGCCTTCAGGGTTTAGGGCCCAATAGCCTCGGGTCCAGGATTTAGGTACATGTTTTTGGGCTGCGAACACTCCTTTTTGCATCGCAGCCAGATTCCGGTTGAGCATGGTTGAGCAAATCGCGGGCTTTTGATAGAGGAACTTTGCTTGCTTCAGTGACAAGCACGGCACTGGACCTCCGAACGAAAGATGGGCAAGTCTTTATCTTGGAGAACCGCCGAGAAAAACTGCCAAGACCTCCTCATCATTTCGGGGCCGGTGCGGTATGGCCAGGTAGCTGTTGACGTGTGCTATCTTCCGGCATTGCAAGCTCAGTGCCCTACGTCCTAACAGTCTGAGCCCTAAACCCCAACCCCCAAGCCCAGGGCTCTTGCTCTTGAGATATATATATATACATAAGTGTATGAATATGTATACATATATGTTATATAGATAGTGACGTTTTTGGTTTGTGCTTTGGGGTGGGGGGGGGGGGGGCATGAGGATTGTTTGAGTTTTTTGCCCGGGCTCCAGGATGATCTCGGCCTGCGGGAAAGCCGGCCGCGTGGGCGAGGCAAGAAGATGGCCGGGGACTTGGCTCAGGGTGGCTTGGGGTTTAGGGTTTAGGGTTTAGGGTTTAGGGTTTAGGGTTTAGGGTTTAGGGTTTAGGGCTCAGGGTGGCTTGGGGTTTCGGGGTTTGAGGTTTCGGGTTTAGGTTCAGGGTGGCTTCGGGTTTCGGGTTTAGGGTGTGTTTTCGGGCTTAGATCGTGCCCGCTTTGCTTCCCTTGATGGAGCCTTGCTTGGGCAGTTTTCCTGCTTTGGCTTAGGTGGGTTGGGGTCGATTCCCCGCAGGGTCGCCTTTCAGTTCAAGGGCATCGTAAGCCCACAAGCACGAGCCAGAGAATACACTCATTCAGAATAAGAAGAAGGTTCATAAGATTCTCCTGGTTTAGGTTTTTTAATCAAGGGGTATTGGCTCCCTGCGAACTGGGAGACGCACAGCTGCCATCTGCGTACCCAGGCTAGAGAGAATGGCCGGGCACCGAGATGGGCTGTTTGTCGAACTGAGCACCACCTAGTCCACCACGTTGTCGCAGGAGAACACGCACACAATGTATACATATATATATATATATATATATAGGTACATATATGTATATACAAAAACATATGTATATGTATATATTTCTTTATATTTCCGCGCGTAATATACAGTTTCGTGGTGCATAGTATGGGCATTTTTTCACTCAGCTGCTAGTTTTGTTCTCGTCATGTTGTTCTCATACAGATGCACTGTCTTTGATGGTTCTGCTCTTTTCAATTGGCCACTTTGCACGCAGACTCCGCCGTCGAGACTGACTTAGAGCCTGTTTTACACATCTTCCCACTACCAGTCATCTTATATCGGGTTTAGGGTTTCAATCTGTCCATCTGAGTACCCCGACCGTCAAGAAAGGATCAACCAACAAAAACCAGATTAACATCTTCGCGCAGTTCTCACTGCGTAAGTTAGTACCAGGAGACGTCATGTATGTAGAGCAAACAAAAGTCACAGACACAAATGCTTCTGGGAAAGAACGTTGGTGCCCGACAAAACGGCTGCTTCTGTCTCTTCGCAGCCAGATGCGGGTCCGTCCTTGAGATGTTGACTGAACACAGGAACCGGCCGGCGTCCAGCCCAACGTTGTCTCCTATACCGAGGCCATTAAAGCAGGCTCGCGGTATGCAGCTGCTGGAAAGAGCTGTTCACTTCACAAGCTTTCTGCCTTCCGACATGTTGGGCACTCTGCACGCTGCGCATTCCTAAACTTCCCCGTGCCTCAGCAACACCCCCCCCCCTCTCCGCCATAAACCATGAATGCCCAAAGCCTTCAACCAGGACGCGAATGTCACCCGAAGCCCCCATGAGCTGGGTTTCATGTTGAATTCGCGGTTTAGAGTTTAGAGTTGGGTGGTCAGGAGCGCAGTCGCGAACAAGCAAGGCGCCTGGCCTTCGAGAGTACCAGCTCTTTGCCAGGCCTGCACTGAAGGGAGGGGAGGCAGCCACATGCCCTAAACCTTAGGTTCTCAGGTTTTTCGGGTTCATGGTTCTAAAGTCAGGTTTCGGGCTGTAGCGTTTTAGGATGGGTTTTTGGATGTTTGAAGGGCTTTAGACTCTAATGGTGGCGTGGAATTCAAACGTAAGCAGGTGCCGCCCAACGCCTTATCCCTGCCCGACGGAGGATGCTCTCCGAGGGGGTGTGGCCTACGGTTGCCAGGGCCTGAAGTTCAGGGGCATTCTGTGCGGGTTTGGGGTTCAGGGTTTGGGCGGAGCTGTTCCGAATTATGTTAATGTCCCCGCGCTGTCTGCGGGCTATGCTCGGAAGGCAGCTGAAGGCATTTTCCTCAGCCCTCTTTGATGTGTGTTGCTTGATGGACACTGCGACCTCGGACTGTTGCCCAGGCATCCCAGGAGTGTGTGCTATAACTGTACTTATTACCATATTGGGGCACCAAGGGGGCTTATAAGTGGTTAGAACAGTTATGATTGGTTCTTAAGTCCCATGAACCTCCAAGTAGGATTTCGAGCTGCGCACAGAAACCTGTGTTTTGGGCCTTCAACGGGTTTTGGGACTATGACCCTGGGTGGATGTACGTGGTTTGTGAACCCAAGCCGTGAGCTCCCTGAACTCTACGGCCGCAACCGGTTTCGGATGTTTGGGGTTTAGGGTTTGGGGTTTAGGGTTTGGGGTTTGGGGTTTAGGGTTTAGGGCCCCGAACCCAAAACCCCGAGGTCACCTACAACTTCCTCCTGCAGTCCATGGTGAGGAGCAGGCCGAAAATGATGAGGCGCGTACCACGGCGATGGTGCTCGCGCCCCCTTTTGTCTAAACACGTTCAGGGTTTAGGGGTTTAGGGAGGCATCTGCTGGATGTGGGGGTTTACGATAATCAGGGACCCCTAACATGAGACCCTCAAATAGTAGGATCCCCTTCTTCTAAGGACCCCAAGAAGGTTCGCCTAGTATCGTATTCCCCATGGAAGTCTACTGAGAAGCCGCTTCTTGCCCCTCCGCGCGCAGGGAGGCAGAGGATGTGTTCAGACATATGGCGCAGTGCCGGGCGCTCGAGGGGGATGGGGGGGGCTGGGGGGGGCTCTGGTGGCCCAGCAGCCCGAAAGGAGGCTACTTCGGGCTTTCGTGAAAGTTGAGTTTTGGGGTTATTTGGGGGTTTGAAGGTGATAACCCTAAACAAGCCCCAAAACATCCCAAAACCCTACTGGGGCCGGGGGTCTACGGGGCTCAAGCTTAGGCTTTAGCGATTCCGGGGCGCGCGCCCACACCCGAAAACCCTAAGCCCCCTTCAAGATCTTCAAGCCCCAAGAGCACCAAAGCCAAAGACCCACAAAAACGGCTTGGGGTTTGGGGGGTTAGGGTTTCAGGTTTAGGGCTTCTTGGCCCAGGCAAGCTCAAGCCCAACAAGTTCACGCAGATCAACCTGGCCAGGGTGCTGGGCCGGAGCCTCGGAAGCCATTGCGCGCAAGGGCGGTGAAGCGTGAGATAAGGTTTAGGGTTTAGGGTTTGGGGTTTAGGGTTTAGGGTCAAGTCCCTTTGTCCCTACGCCCTAAACCTCTCAGCTCCCCCCGAGGCCACCCTAAGCCCCGAAAGAAACAGGGCGTCGCCTCCAACTGCATCCCCCAACCACCCAAAGTGCCACCCCAATTGGCAACAATGCGCCCAACCCAAGGCTCAATTGAGGCGGGGGGTGGGTGAGGTGAGTCAAGATCCCATGTTGAGCTCTAAGCCCGTGAGGCCGAAACCCCCAAACCAAGTAATCCTAGGTAGGAATTCTACGACGTGGTACACGGTCTTACGCAATGATTGATCTACCGGTGCTCTGTATAATCCCACTGTGGGGGGTTGGCAGGTCGAGGACTCCAAGGTTCCATGGCTGAAAGGGCAGACTACACGTTGCCTGTTTAGGCACTACACGTGAAAAGTGGCAAGGTGAGGAAACCTGGTTGGCACCGATGTTTTCGTGCAGCAAGCAGCAAACATGGAGAATAGCCACCGAACCTCCTGGAAAGCGCGCGCGAACGGAGTATCCTTTCCAAGAAGGTTAAGGCCCCGAACAATCCAAACTTTTGTAAAATGCCTAGGCTCTCAGACTTTCACAAACCCCGATTCTCTTGCAGGTGCCCATGTTCAAGCACCTCCTTCGTCCCTAGACTCCCAACTCCTAACCTGGACTCGCAAACCCTGAACCCCGAAAGCTGACCCTAAACCCTAAACCCTAAACCTAAACCCTAAACCCTAAACCCTAAACCCTACACCCTAAACCCTAAACCCTAAAGCCTAAAGGTCTGGAACGGACCTTGGAGCTCTGCAAAGAGCTGGGCTTCAAGGCGGGCTCTCTTTTGCGGGTTTTGGGGGCTGAGGGCTGAGGGTTGGGATGTTCCCCCTGATGCTAACAGTCCTGAATGGGGATCATAATAGGGGGTACTCTATCCCTTCAAGGACCCTAAACCCTAAACCCTAAACCCTAAACCCTAAACCCTAAACCCTAAACCCTAAACCCCTAAACCCCTAAACCTCTAAACCCCAAACCCACAACACTGTTAGTATAAGGGGGAACATCCCAAGTTGAGGGCTTAGGGTGCCAGGGGCGAATGTTGAAACAGTGGGGGCTGACGGAGTAGGTTTGAGGTTGAGGATTTGGGGCTGCCTTCAGCTTTCCTGAGTGCTTTCCCTGAGTGTTGAGGTTTCGTGCCTTTAGGGTTGAGGTTGCGGGTTTAGGTCTCGAAGGTATGGGGTGTCGGGCGTTTGGGAATAGATCGTGCTGTCTGGAGCTTTGCGCCGGCCCCTGCTGCTTCCTTCTGAACCCAAAAACCGAGAAAAGGAAAAGATGTTGGGCTTTCGGGTTTTGAGGGCTTCAGGACCCTCCACAAGCTTTTTTTTTTTTTTTTTTTGGGGGGGGGGGGGGGGGGACATTCAACACCCCCTGCAGCCCTAATCCCCTAACTTCCTTGGAGGGTCCCTATCCTTACCTTTTGTTAAGGGCCAGTGAGCCCTAAGACCCAACATCTAGAATCCCCCAAGCCTGACATCATGGACCTCTTGAGGTGGCGCCCGACCTTCACTGATCGTCAGAGGCTGCATCGAGTCAGACACTAAGTCGCTGCAGCTCCCCCCCTAAGAGCTGAAGGCTCAGTAGAAGTCTCGGCCCTTTTTCAGGTCGTAGCTGTAGTACTACGGCAAGGCACAAGGCTCAAGGCAATGCAGGGCTCCAGTCAGTCACAGTGATGCGAACCAAGGCGCAGCTGAGCAAAGACCCGACTTTTTTTTGGGAATGGAGAGCAAGAAGAACCCAAACAACAGCGCCCCTCGAGCATCAGTTTTTTTTTTTCGTTGCGGGGGTGGGCGGCTTTCTTTTGGGGGTGGGGGCCAGTGGGGAGCGGGCTTTATGATAGCAGGGTGTGTGTGTGTGTGTGTGTATCTATATATACATTATGATACTTAATATAGTGCATTAAAATATATATGTTCCATATCGGACAGCATTCTCCCCAGACCCGTTGCCGTTGGCGAAGCGCACCACCCCGGGCATCTGCGTGATGGAGGCCGAGATCAAGGACCCCATGAAGCAATGGCCCCTTGCACTCAACCCTAGGACCCCAACCCCCAACACCCAAAACTGTTAGACCGAACCCTCATGGTAAGGCCTCCAACACCCAACCTTAGAATCCTAAGGCTGCCTTAAACCGCTAAACCCTACAGCGAAGAGCGGTTTTTGCCAGGACTTGCTGAAGGCGGGGCGCTCGCGTGCTTGCAGCTCCGGGGTGAGTGGTGGAGTGCTGGCGGGTGAAAAGTCCGCGTTTTCCGGCTTTGGGTTTGGGGGGTCTCCTTTGGCTGTTAATTTGGGTTCACCTCCCACGCCCTCAACTTTACACCCGGGTCAAACCTTAAGCGCGAAAGCCTAAGCCCTTCGAGGGTTCAGGCATGATGATGTGAAGGGTTGGTCCAGGTTGCGGCCGGGGCACATCAAGAGGTTGCTGTGCCACGTCCGGTGCGGAAGGGCTTGGGCTTTCGGGTAACCCTAAACCGCTCTAAACCCTAAAAGCCCGAAACCCGCTCTCTCCCCTCTGCTTCTTTTTTTGGCACCGCGAAGCCCAAAACGCTTCTTAACAATCAGTGTCGTCTTTTTCCCACAGGTGCAGGAGTTTAAGGCTTAGGGTGAACCCTAAAACCTCAATCATGAAAGCCTGAACCCTAAGCCTAAGCCGGAGAATAAGTCCCGAAACCTCTCCGCCGCCTTGATCCGCCCCGCCTTAGCAGTAGAATCCCGGTGTGACAAAAGCAAAAGGTTAGGGGGTCAGGGTGCTTAGGCCAGAGTTGTTTCGGGGATAGGGTTTAGGGTTTAGGGTTTAGGATTTAGGGTTTAAGGTTTAGGATTTAGGGTTTAGGGTTTAAGGTTTAGGGTTTAGGAAGTTTGTGGGTCGCCGCCGAAGTGGCTCGGAGACTCTGACTCCGCCACCTCCGCGTACGGCATGGAGCCGCCAGCGTCCCAGAACTGAGGCCCTGACCAAACATCCCCTATAGGGGGTAGCCCTGGCCAAACATCCCAAAATGCCCTAAGACTCCAAAGCCCCAACGAGTCTGGGAGTCTAGGGTTTAGGGTTTGGGGTTTAGGGGTAGACACCGCCGCCCACCAGTCTTGCAGGTTCCATATGGTTTCCGATAATGTATGTGGGTCAGAAAAGGGGAATTGGGAACTCCTTCAGGATCTTCGAGCACTTCGAATCCTTACCACGGCAGAGAGAGAGCGAGAGAGAGAGAGAGAGAGAGACGTCGAGCGAGACCGAGAGCGAGAGCGAGAGCGAGAGTGAGAGCGAGAGTGAGAGCAAAAGTAAGCGCGAGAGAGAGCGAGCGAGAGAAGCGTGTCCGCAACCCTGTACGACCTAGTCTTCGACTGGACCCAAGTCTTGGGGTAGCTATCGGAAAGCAAGAGCCGAGATCAACCAGTGGGCTTCCACGGCGTAGGAGCAACAGATGGCTTTTGTTGAATCCAAACACCTGAGCCCTCAGCCTGACTCAGCCCTGAACCCAAAATCCCCCAAACTGTAAACCCTAAACACCTGACCCTAAACCCTAAACCCTAAACCCTAAGCCCTAAGCCCTGAGCCCTAAACCCTAAACCCCTAAACCCTAAACCCTAAACCCTAAACCCGGAACCTGTTCAGGCCCTAACCCCAAGCTGAGGCCCCAGTCGGCCCGGGAGCCGCGAGACACCTTCCGCGCGAGCAGCCAAGGCGGGGCTCAGGGCCTCTTAGGGGTTTCGGGGTTGAGGGTTTTGGGTTTAGGCTTTTGGATGGGTTTAGGATTTAGGGTTTAGGGTTTAGGGGTTTGGGGGTTGGGGTTAGGGGTTTAGGGTTCTGGGTTCAGAGTTGGGGTTTAAGCTTTTTGGGGTTTAGGGTTTGGAGATGGGTATGGGGCTCTTATGCTCTCTAGCGCTTTCTAGGGCTTACAGGGCTTACAGGGCTTACAGGGCTTATAGGACTTACAGGACTTACAGGGCTTACAGGGCTTACAGGGCTTACAGGGCTTACAGGGCTTACAGGTTTCAGCGTGGATCCCCACGATGTGGCGCTGAGGTTTTGTGTCGTGGGGATGAAGATGGCACCCTTGAAGAACATTGTTCCTACAACATTTTTTTTTTTTATCTCAATGCTTATAGACCCGAGTCAGCCCCACAGCCTGTTTTTCCTGAAAGGGCCCATTCTCAAGACCCTTGAAACTCTTGGGCTCGGGCTCTGTCTGTTGACTGTGTCGTCCTTTTGTTCGAAGTTGCGCAGCCCGTTCATTATGATGGTAGTTCCCAGCCTTAGACAACACCCTAACTCCCCTTGCGGCATCTTCAATCAAGCTACCCAGAGAGGGACCCTAGTTTAGAGCAACATTTCTTGATCTTTTCAACTAAACCAAAAGCCCTGAACCCCTAAACCCGGAGACCGTGGAGCCCCGACCTATCTGGATCTTCTCGCGGTGGCCTCCACACCCAAGCCTGTGCAGTTGGCTCCCTACTGGCTCTGGGCAGCAACGCGAAGCCCGACAACCTCCTGCAGCGTGGCGAGGATTTGGGTTTGGGTTTGAGGGTTTGATCCCTTAAGCCTAAACCTCTAAGCGCTGAGGGTGTTTTGGGTTTGAGGAAGGCATTGTGTTCAGACTTGGCCGCTCGTAGTTCAGCGAAGACTCGAGACTCGACAGTTTGAGGGGCATTTCTCCATAGCAGAAAGTCCCCTTGAAGGTTCTACTCACAGCTCGTCGCACTTTGTGACTAATTACCTCAACGTCTCTTGTCCAGGTACCACCGAAAAGCAGCTCCTCAGCCCGTCCTTAACCATTCCTCGGTGCCGAAGCTCAGGCTCGTCAGAGACGATGCCGGATCCCGAGCCCATCCGGCTCATCAGCCACGTAATGGGTTTAGGGTTTAGGGTTTAGGGTTTCGAGGAGGTTCGGGGATTCGGAGGCTCGGGAGGTTCAGGGGTTTGGAACTTAACCGGTTCCATGGGCAAAAGTCGCCTGACTTGGAATCAACAAGCCCTTGAGACCATAAAGCCCCTAAGCCGTACAAGAACACTATGAACCCGAATCCTGAACCCCAAGCCTAGCGCAGGATCCGCATCTCCCTCTGGCCTACCAGGGTTTAGGGGATCCATGATCTACCCTAAACCCTAAACCCTCAACCTTAAACCCTAAACCATAAACCCTGCACCCTGAAGCTTGTCCCAGGCAAGCAGGAGGAGCGCACATGCCGGGCAAAACCTCAACAGCAACACCTAGAAGTCGCCCGAAGCCTTAAGCCCTAAACCCTAAACCCTGAACCCTAAACCCTAAACCCCTAAATGCTAAGTCCTAAGCTGCGGCCCTAGAGTCTTTAATCGCATCTGCTCAGCTCAGGTTGGCAAGCCCGGGGGCCTGGAGGATTGCAGAGTTCTGTAGGCCCCGAAGCCCCGAAGCCCCGAAGCCCCTAAGCCCTTAAACTCGGGCCCAGCTGTTGCATAAAACTCACGCTAAGCCCCCCCCCCCCGCACCAGACGCCCTAGCATTCTAGCTTTCCTGGTATGTATATACATCTTACAACATACTATCGTGAGAAAATTGGCAATTCATTGTGGGGCTGGGGGTTTGGTTTGGGACGAAGACGAAGCGTTTCGCTGCAACATATTATTGTGATCTTCGGGGTACACGGATGGCGTGTGCTCAATCTAGCAATCCAAGCTGGCTTTGCTTGGTACTCAGATGAGATCCAGATGCTCAGGGCGTGCTTGAGAGAATTTGAAAGCAGCTCTGCCTCCCATGCACAGTAGGCTCAGGTGCAAGGTAGCAGTGGGGGTCCAGGGCAGGATGCAAGATACTCCGGAAGTTCCTTGTGTTGCTGAAGCCGTGGTCTTGGGCATCTCCAGATCTGGAGGGAACGTCCTCCCCGAAGCTGATGGCGTGGAGGCGCGGTTTTGGAATTTGGGCTGCAGGAATGTGGTGAGGCCTCCTAAGGCCGCTTTCGCAGCAGCCGATGTTCGTGGGCTGGAAGCTGGCAGATCAGCCCGCAATGACGATCGCCGGCGGTCCAGGACACTTTCGGTGGCCGAAAAGGCGGATGTGGTAGCCAGGAAAAGGCGGACAGCCTGGCAGAGGTGCACGTATGCTCCGATCGAGCTAGTGCACGGATTGCCCTGCCCCGCATGAAGATCAGCTCCCTGCAGTCGGCACATCGTTGCCACACACCGGGAAGGACTGCGCTGCTGGCCTCCTTGGCAAAAGCACAGAGAGCGTGCCAATCCAAGAGGGAGCCCAGGAGCTTCTCGACCTGGATGCCTCATCTGGTGTGGCATGTGGCGTGCGGCGTGAGTCTTACTAGGGCGTTGAGTTTAGGTCACGCGCCAAAGGCATACACTTGGTCTTCACCAAGCTCCAGGGCGCTCCCGGCCCTGTACTCGAAGATGATCTTCTTGGACAAGGACATCATCGTTGAAAGAGCCGGCTTCCGACATCCGCGTGGCGGTCGCTCCTGTGGTTTTCTCTTGCTGTGCTTGGAGGTTCATGGTGCTTTTTAGCCAATTATAGCTGTGCTTATAACTGCCCGCGCTGGAACGGTGGCGCAACAGCGTATTTGAAGCAGATGTGCAGAGATGATCTCGAGTCTGGAAAAGTGGAAATGGTTTGTTGCAGCAGTGTGCAATTCCATCTACTCTTTCCGACTTGTGATTGGAGGTTCAGATGCCGACCTGATCATGGTCGACGCCACCAGTTTCACGCCGTCATGCGCTGATTCTGCTTTTCAAAATGCTGAATGCCTGCGACTTGGTGAAGACGCTTCACAGTCACCAGCGGTTTGCATCTTCCTCTTCATGCTCTTCCTGACAAAGGCATGGATCAGCCTCAAAGATGGCGTGGCAACCTCTCAGACTGAGTTCAATTTTGGCCTTCAGTTAAGAGCATGCCTTGCTGCTGCTTGACCTTCATCGTTCGTCCTCGCCCGGTTGGCTGGCCGCAAGTGTCCTGGGCTGGTTTGAACAAGAGTCGTCGCCGCGCGTGCCAAGGGGCTGCAAACCCAAGCCCACACCGCCCAAGTCACCCCACACCCCTAAGCCCCTAAACCCTTTCTTCAGCCTAAGCCCTTTTCAACCTAAACCCTGAGCCACTTCACCTTCTAAACCCGTAAACCACAAACCCATTCGCGCAGCGCGCTTTGAGGCCCAAGCCTACCTGCTTTGACTTGCCCGACGCGCAGTTCTCCTATGGACTCCGTGGGGGTGCAGACGAAGTAGATGTTGGTGGTGGTTTCTACTCAGGTTCTCAGGTTTAGGGTTTAGAGTTTAGGGTTTAGGGGTTGGGCCTTAGGGTGGTTTGATTGCGAGGCTTGGGTGTTTTTGTTTTGCCCGCGGTCTGTTGCGGTGGGTGTGTTATGGAGCTTCTCGGGCACGAGAGGCTTGTCGGGTCCCTCGCCACGACTGCATCATACCGTTTCCCTGAACCCTTACCTGCAACCCAAACCCCGTAAACAAGTAGATTAGATACTATGACCTCCTGAAGCCTTCAACCCCGGAACCCTGAGCTCCAAATCCACCTAAAGCCGGAGTTAAGCTCGAAACCCCTGAGCAAACTCTAAAACCTAAAGCCTGAATCAACCCTTAATTAACCCTGAACCCTAAAGCCTAAAGCCTAAAGCCTAAACCCTAAACCGTAAACCGTAAACCCTAAACCCTAAACCCTAAACCCTAAACCCTAAACCCTAAACCCAAACCCTAAACCCTGCGGCAACACAAGACACCAGGACGCCCTGGAAACCAAGACTCGGAAGGCGCCAAAGAGGCCGGGTGCCCCTAAGATCAGCTACCAGGGCTTTAGGGTTCAGGGTTTAGGGGCAGGCAGGGTTGATGGGTTTCGGGCTAGGGGTTGGTTCATAGGAACCTTTCCAAGAGCCCAAGCAGGCTCCTAAGATCTAGCCTTGTTTTCGGTCTTTAGGGTTTGGGGTTTAGGGGGCAACCCAGGATTTTTGGGGTTGAAATGGTTGAGCACTTGTTTTTGGTTTCAGCTGCCTTGTGGGAGGATGTTGCTCAGCTCCGACTGGGTTGAGCGTCGGGTTTGGGGTTTGGGGCGGGAGTTTCATCTAGGGTTCCTGATGGGTTTTAAGGGACGTCGTTTGCAGCTCTCGAACCCGAGCCTGGGTTTAGGGTTTAGGGTTTAGAGTTTCGGGTTTAGGGTTCAGGGTTCAGGGTTTAGGGTTTAAGGTTTAGGGTTTAGGGTTTAGGGTTTGGGGCAGCTCGACGCCTCGAGCGCGCTTGAACTCTAGAACCCTGAGCCCTAAAGCCCAGCACCTCCTCAAACCCCCTGCAAGGTGTCAATGCGGTGGATTGGCCACACTCCAAGCAAGCGCAACGAGGAGCCTTCGTTTCACGGGGCTTAGGGACATTGTAAAGGCAGAGTTGGAGATTTTTGCGTTGGATCTTTTTGGGGCATAGTCTCCTTAAGAAAGGCGTGAAATCATAATAGGGCTAGTGCTTATGAGTGAGCTCCAGTTGCTCTACACTTTGAAGCCAAGCATGAAGGGATTCGGGGGTCGTTCTGCAGAAAGCCTGCGCGGACAGGCGGACGAGCCGGACTTTGTCTCCGTGAACAGGCTTTTTCTGCGTGTGCTACCCTGAGGGTCCATGTACCTACTTAGCTTGTACTTGGGCACCTCAGTCACCACAGAGTAGCTACTTTCCACATCCCAGGCATACTGAGGCACATGGACCCTTCGGGTCGACTGCTTCGTGACCTGTGATCCAGAACCCTGATCAAACCCCAATAATGGAGGGTCCTTCATAATCAGAGTGAAGTGGTGGGGGTTATTATCACGGGACCATAAGGGAATATTTTATTCCGACCCCCTGTACTAGCTCACGTAGCCAGAAGTGGTCCCGGTGCGCAGGAAAGCGGCGGTCGACAGGGTAACCAATGCCAAGGCTCCCGTGCGCCATGTGCAGAATGCAGCATCATCTCATTGCTGAAGCCGCTGCCAGAGCTAGGGAAATAGCACACCCCAACCCTAAACCTAAACCCTAAACCCTAAACCCTAAACCCTAAACCCTAAACCCTAAACCCTAAACCCTAAACCCTAAACCCTAAACCCTAAACCCTGGTGGCTGCAACTTTCTGCCAGGATCTCCGGCAATACTTTCGCCAGGCCGGGCTGCGAATGGAAGTTGCGCATGCGTACAGACAGCCTAAGAACCTGTACCCCGTCGCTTCCACCTGCACTGCATCATGTGGACAGTTCTCTAGATTATTGTCCGTGTTGGAGGACCCTAAATACAAGTGCACCCCAACGAGTTGACCCTACTTCTGGAAACTTCCCACATGATGCACGGCAAGAGCTTTCCCTGGAACCAACCTGCGAAGGTGCCAGACCCGCCACGCATGTCGGAGGGAAGCTCAGCTTTCTGCATCGAACCATTCCGGGGGTTTACGATATTAGGGGTACCTTATTGGGGTCCTTATGATAAAGGGATCCTACTATTTGGGGATCGTTATTGGGGGGCCCCTATTATCGTAAACCCCCATACAGGCGCAGACAGCGCTCAAGAGTGCAGGGATCAGGGTGCAGGGTTTCGAAACTGTCCGGTTTCTGCAGAGGCAGTAGGCTACGAACCCTAAACCCGAAGCCCTAAACCCTAAACCCCAAACCCTAAACCCTAACCCTAAACCCCAAACCCTAAACCCTAAACCCTAACCCTAAACCCTAAACCCTAAACCCCCTTAACCCTAAAGCTGGCTTTCCCAAGACCCCGAAGTCCATCAAGGCGCGAGGGCACAAGTTGGCGGGAAAGGCGCAAGTGGGGCTTCTGGGGCGGTCGTGCCAGCGGCCGTGACCGGTGATGCCTTGAACCTTGTTATGATGATTATCACCATGATTCTTGTTGTTTTGATTGGTACTCGTATCAGTAATATTGTCAGTATTGCGTATATTCTCATCATGACAGACGGCAGGATTTGGGGTTCAGGGTTGCTTGAACAAGGTCATGGCGGTGTACCGAAGGCCCGACTTCAGTAAACCTTTGCACCCAAAAGCCCAACTCCCAAGCCTTCACCGACACCTCATGGAGCGCTTGGCCAGCCGCTCATCCCCTCCGACGTGATTCCCGAGTTCGCCTACGGAAGGAAGGCCCGAGGGTCAAGTTCTGTGCTCCTGAAGGCTGCGTAGGTCATAGATTGTGCCTTTCATGTGCTTAAGGAGCTAAGGCCAAGTTGTGCTGTAGCCGACTTCTAACAGCAGCAAGGCTCACAAGCTTTCCCAGGTCTCAGTACTGTAGGCCTTAAGCCTCCTCCAAGGCTTAAACCCTCCCTTCAGCATCTTTCTGCACCCGGCGGTTCTTGGATCAGGTGAGGCCGTCGACGCCTATTCAGGAGGCCGCCCCTAAGGTTGAGCTTGCTCATTCGAGCATTCGGGAACCTGACCGGGGTCGGTGTTTGGTTTGTTTGTTCAGGGTTTTTTGGTTTTTGGGGTCTGGGGTTTCGCGGGCATATTTCAGGGCAGGGCAGAGTCTTGTTTCAGTACATTCTGACAGAGAGGATCTTTTCCCATGCAGTTAGAAAAAATATGCAGAGCCTTCAAGGTCCCCAGTCGTAAGTCTTCACATGCACGCAGGCCCCTTCTCCGCACTGGCTCAACAGCTTCCTGGTTCGCCCCAGTATACTCAAAACCTTTAAGCAGATCCTACGTGACTAAGCGAAATCCGGGCCCTGCCTGATTTAAAGGATGCCTAAACGCCAGGGCAACCCCAACCAACCTGCGTGTGAAGCCCTGAACACCTTACAAAATCCCAAAAGCTTCAGCTCCTTTCAGCCTTCATCCCCTAACCCCGAACCCCGCAGCTTCTCTGAAGTCCCAAGAAGGGAGCTTGCCAAAGGCCCCAACATTCAAAGCAAAAGCCAAGTCAAAGCTAACCCCACGCCGCGGCCAATGGCGCGGAAGCAGCAAAAGTTGCTGGGCTTCGGCCCGCGCTGGCAGGCCGCGTGCTTTTTCTCTTCAGGGTTTGGGGCTTGGGGTTTGGGGGATGGGCCCTCTGCCTCGAGTCCTTTCTTTGGAGATCCCGTTTTAAGGAGCCCATCCTACCATATAAGACAGTTGCTTCATTATTCTGTGTGTGTCGGGTTTCTAGCGATGAAAGGTCCTGGGTCATGTGGGTTTCAAATCAGGGCTAATGCTTCGGAGAATCAGATCCAAAGCCGACAGGGGTTTCCTAAAATCAAGGATCCCTTCGTGGGTACGGTGAGTCTGGGAAACTCCCTTATCAACGCCTCATGGGTCTGCGGCGGCGTTGCTCTGTTTTTTCAGCCCTCTTCTTTTCGAGACGCCAAGCCCTAAACCCTAAACCCTACACCCTAAACCCCAAAAACCCAAAACCACCTTCCAGTGGCTTCCCGAGCCAATTTCTGCTGGGCAGACAGCCGACCCAACGGAGTCCCTGACGCGGGAGTGGGGAGCCTGACGTTTGGGTTCAGGTTTAGGGTTGAGGGTTTAGGGTAGTTTAGGGTTTAGGGTTTAGGGATAGGGTTCAGGGTTTAGGGTTGAGGGTGTGGGATCGAGCAGGGTTTAGGGTCAGTTCGGAGCTACCCAACATGTTCATTTTAACTAAATGGCACTCCCTTTATTGGGTGCGCAGGCCAGAAATTTGCGAAGGGCTTAGGGTTCTCCGGGTCTAGGATATTTTGGGGGCGGGGTGGAGGAAGCCCTAAACCCTAAGCCCCTAAACCCTAAACCCTAAATCTTAAACCCTAAACCCGTTGTTCCTCTCACCTGCAAGGTTTGCGGGTTGAGCATCGAATCCATGGCTCCCGACACAGCCCCCTTTGACTCTACAGCCTTCCCAGAACTTGCAGCCTCATCAGCCCTCAATCCCACACCCTTGATAAACCCTACAGCCTAAACCCTAAACCCTAAACCCTAAACCCTAAACCCTAAACCCTAAAC